GGGACCAGCCCTTGTGCCATTTCAGTCTCAGCAGCAAGGTTTGGTGTCTCTCCTGCCACAAGCTCTCCCAGTTCCTCACGAGTAGCTCTGGCCAAGACTGAGCATCTGCTATTGGCAATTGCCTCATTGTAGCTTTGCCTTTTTCTGTCCTAGTATTTCCTCACAATGATGATGTTTACATGTGATTGCTATAGAGCTTATGTAGAATGTATATAGCGACACATTTAGGGTGGGTAGTACTGTCCTGTGCTGTGCTGATGTTTTTCAGAAAACGATCAATCCAAAAAAAAGCAAACAAAAAAAAAAAGAAGCAAAGTAAGTGGAATTCTTCCATCTCCCACTCAGCCGGGCCCTGCTGGGGATGCATCAAGGTGGCAGAGGGGAAGTCAGTGCAATGCCTGAGGAAGCCCTCTCCTGGGGGATCACTCAGTCACTTCCCAAGCACTGGTTTTGGTGGACCCAGGTATCAAATTCCAAAGTTTTCCTGTGGCTGGACACCCCGGGTCAGCCCCCAGCCCCTGCCGTGCCTGGCTTCTGAATACCAAGGTTGGTGCTTGGGAAGGGGAGGGCTCATCCTGCACAGAGCTCATCAGCACTGCACCCATAGGGTAAGAAGAGATGCAATAAGTGGTCTTTGTGGTGCCTGAAGCCTATAAGTGGGGTTGGGGTTTGGGGGAGGTTTTATTTGTTGGGTTTTGTTTTCTTTCCCCATTAAATTGGGATGGCTTCGTTTCCCTCCTGCCCAGGAAATTTCTCCAGGACTTATGCACTATGCCCAGAGGTGTGCAAGGTGCAGGGGCACTGTGGCCCATCGCTGCCTGCTCCAGGGGCTTCCCTCAGAGTTTAGGAATAGAGGGTGTTCGGCTCAAGCAGCACAGCTCTGCTGGGTTCAGAACCCCTCACACAGGGTTTGTGGTGAAGAGTTCCCACTTTATTTTTTTAATATAAAGGTGTCTTTAGCTCACAGTGCTCACGTCTGCAGAGAGGCAGGAAGGAGTGCTCGGGCACAAGGTGCAGGTGAGAGCTCACTCCCTCAGCAGCCCGTGACTGTTCCGGATGCTGACAGGGAAGCGGGGCAGGAGCAGAGCAGGGAGAGGCAACCCATGCTGCTGGGGGAGCCGGTGGCACCCAGTGCTTTGCTGCTGGGGACAGGGAGCGGGATCACCCCCCTGCAAACAAGCTTTACATCCCGCCCAGCCTGTGGCATCACAGCGGGTGCCCTGCTGTGGGTGTCGCTCAGAGCTTGGCACCCCAAAAAGGGAACCCTGGCCCCAGCTGCCTGTGAGGGCCAGGGCTGGTAGGAGTGCTACTTAGAGAGGAACTGGGAGCCAAAGGGTGTATTATGGTAGGCAATAAGTAGGGAGGAGATTTATTTTTTTAAACATATATGACTATAGAATGTCCCCCAGTAGTTTCCTACAGGTACTGTGGGGAAATGCTGAATGTGAAGTCTCATGATAAAATGCCCCTTTGCCTTTTTTGCACAGATTTGTCCCAGGGAAGCTCATGGTTCAGGGTGGGATACTGGGTTCCTGGCTGGACTCCAGTGGGTCCCTGGGGCTCTGTGGGAAGGAGCAAACATTTCTGAGTGTCTGGGCTGAATGCAGAGGACAATCCTGGGTTTTAGGTTCCGTGCTGCCCCAAATAAAAGGTTTCTCCCTATCCCCACTCAGCGCAGCTGACTGGGCTGCACGTCATCTTCAATGAAGCAGCTGCTCAGTCACCATGTTACAGTCTTGAGTGTCTGATTCCAGCACTGGTCCATGCAAAGGAGCGTTGCAATTGCAGACCAGCACTGTTTTTCTTCTTTTTCTTTTGTTTTGGGTTGGTTTTTGTTTCTTTCTCTCGGAGGCATGCTGAATACTGAGATACATCCTTGTACGTCAGCTGAGCCCTGACAACTTTTCTGTTCTAAGCGTCGTAGTCCATCCCTGACAATCTCAAGCAATATAGAGCCAAATGCAGCCTTTGGGTTTCATTCCTCTTCCCTCGCCCACCCTGGGGTCAGGAGGGGAGGCAACAGCCTGGACCCAGTGCCCACGGCACCGAGCCGAGAGCCACGCTGCAGTAAATACTGAGCTGGGGAGGGAGTGTGTGTATGCATGTGAGAAAGAGAGAGAAAGATTAAATTGATGCATTTCTTAAGAAAGGTGTAAGAATTTCACCTAAAAAGGGGCACATCTGCTTTGTTATTTATATTAAAACCCGATAAATTCTGTCTTTTTCTTCTTTTTTTTTTTAAGTAAAAGGACACTGCTCATACTTACAGGGGCCAATTCTGCCTCCCTTTCTCATGCTGAGTAAGTACTACTGAACTCTGCGGTTTTCTCCTTGCAGAGTAAGTAGAAGCAGTGGAATTGATCCCTCTGTGATTAAGAATCAAGTTTTTAGTCTGTTTTTTTTTTTTAATTGGTAGCATTTTTTTATATTTCACTGCATTTTTTCCCCAGTTCCGTTCTGTTGTGTCCTTATTTATGTAATATACTTTAACCTTAAAAGGCGGCATGGGTTCTTATGCCTTTCCTTTATTATTATTGTTATTATTTTTAAACGAAGAGATTTATTTCTAGTGTGATTTAACTGTCTACCTTCTAAGACAAGAGAACGTTTTCTTGTATTTTTACATTGTCAGATTCTATAGTTTCATAGATAATTTAACCAAATCACTCAATGTATTATCTCTAGCTCTCCGGTGGGTATAAAAGTTCTATTTTAAATTGTGTAAATACTTCAGAACTGGCTTCTTTTTCCAGACTCCCCAGCCATGGAGTTACTTGTTTACATCAAAAAGACTGTAGAATCTCTACGCTCATGTACTGTAAATAGTGAAGTGATCTGCCTATAAATAAACGATAACATATATACTACAAAGTGGAAACAAAACCCAAAAGGAACAAGTCTGTGCTTCTAATACTTTAGCTCAAGCCTGCTCTGGGAGGAGGTGTTTTTTGCTCTGCTAAAGGTGCTCCCCTGTGTTGGCCTGGCTGGCAGTGGGACAGTTGGGACAAACTGGGGCCAAGCAGGTGGTGAAGCCCCCAACTCACTTGCACCAACAGTGCCCCACTGCCAGAGATGCAGGAATATCCCGGATTTTGCTGTTTTAAGTGCGGCTTCTTGCAGTTTAACTCCTGCAGGAAAAGCATGGGCTGTCCTGTGGACTTCGGGAGCGGTGCCACTGCTGCAGGACCCATTGCAGAAGAAGCCTCCCCGATCAGGGAGGGTACAAATGAAATGGGGCACGCACCTCAAATTTGCGTCAGTGGGAGTAAGAGAGCTGGATTGTAAGGAAAGGTGTGGAAAACACTCCAGATGGTGAAGCAGGAACCGTGCGGTCCCCCAGTGCCAGGAGCGCAGTGCCACAGGAGCCAGCCTGTGCTCCCAGAGACACAGCCGAGGTGGCTGAACCAGCACAGGGTGTCCTGGGCACCATGGGAGCCTAGGCTGTGGAAGGGATGGATGGAATGCCTGGGCAGCTCTCCTGCAGCACCCAGGAGCCCAGCACTAGCCATTGCCCAGCTCGGAGATGGCACACTGAATTTTCTCGGATGCTGCTGCTGGGCAGGAGGACCTGAGAGGAGGAGGTCTGCAAGGTGCTGAGCTGGTTTTTCCTTCCGATTTGCACTGATTGAGGCAGCTGCCATAGACCTGTCCATCTGAGGCACACACAAGGACTCATGGGCAGGCAGCTGCTCTCGGGGTGCCTGGTGTGGGTGCACAAGAGCAGCGTTCCTGGCTGGCAGGGCACTGGGATGGAGCAGGGGCACACAAGCGAAGGGTCTGCAGAGAGGAACAGACCCACAGATGGGGTTTTTCCTCCCAGCCTGACCTGCGCTGCATTTTCAGGCAGCTTCCTGGAAAATACAGGACTGACATTGAGTATTACCCTGCAAGCAGACCTAGAAATTGAAGGGAGCTGTTGGTGAATCACAGCATCATTTCAGCAGCTCTGTTAGTCCCCGCAATTACATCCAGCCGGTTGGAAAGAAAACCAATGTGACAGTTTTCATTTTGTGTAACTCTGTGATAAAACATCTTTTCACACAGATGGGTGCTGCTTTTGCAGCAGTTTGTGTGGCTGCTCTTCGGCTCCTGGAGGGAAGGGAGGGAGGCAGTGCTACCTACTGAGCTAGGCACTGTGTGCCTCGTGGGAAGGGAAAGTAAGTCAGTAACGGGCTGTTGTGAACAGGGGCAGCTTCTGTTGCTGACCTTGGCTGGTTGGCAGCATGGGCAGCACATGCAGTGCAGGCACAATGGGGGTGCAGGGGCAGTGTGGGCAGCAAGGGCAGGGTGGCAGTGCCCACATCTGCCTGGCTGAGACAGCATCTGCCCTGGGCTCCACTGGCTTGGTGAGACACCCCGGCTCCCAAAATGTCCCACAGAGAGGCAGGGACACAGTAAAGCAATGCCCGGGAATGCCAGGCCAAGCTCATGCTCCTGACCCATGTGAAGCACCCGTTGTTTGGGATTGATTTCAGTGCCTGGCGAGCTGTCCTGGGCTGCCCTTTGGAGTTTCAGCTCCCATCTGTGCCCTGAGCAGTGGCAGCCAACACCAAATCCTGCCCTGGGCTCTGCTGCTCCCTGCTCCCAATACAAACCTCAGCTTCTGGACAATGCGAAGTCTGTCCTGGGGCTCTGGGGGCCATGCTTAGAGCAGCATATGCATTTGCCCATCCTCTCCATCAGTCCCAGCTTGTTGCCCAGGTCCATCCAGGTGCCTTTGCAGGGAGGAACAGGGGAGGTTTGGTTTATCCACTCCCTGCCAGCTCTAGACCCACTTCTCTGCGCTACCACTGCAGCTGCCCACAGTCCCAAAGGGCTGCTCCCAACTTTCCTTCCCAGCTTTTCATCTCCCTCACTAACACACCTGCAGCTCCTGCCTCCTGCTTGCTGTGTGCCTTTAAATACTGGTGGAGTGCCTTCCCCAGATGCTGTTGGTTCAGGGACATGTTATCTCTCTTCCCTCTTTCTTCTCCTCCGTCCTTGCCTGGGTGCTGTTTAATCTTTCCTATGCTGTCTCTGCCACCAAGTACCTTTTCAAACTCGGACTTGGACCTCTTGTGTTTCTCAGCAGCTTCCTGCAGGTAAGAAAGCACCATTCTTTCCATACCAGTTTTTCTAGCACTAACCCTGCTCCTCCAGAACCCCACCACCCTGATCCTGGGTTCATCCTGCATGGACATGGCTTCTCTCACGTGGCAGATTGGAGGCAGGCAGCTGAGTGGAGGAGGGATGACTTTCTCTTGCCAAGGGGAGGAGGCAGCCGCTCCCTGCCTGCAGCCAATGGTGCTTCCACTACTGGTTTCTGTCTCACTTTTCATTAGTGACTGCTGCCACTCCACCGCAGCTTAAGCAACATGGTGGTGCTGTGACCAGGCTGGAGATGGACCTGACCTGTGCCACCTGCCTGGACACTTACCTTGAGCTGGTGATGCTGAGTTGTGGCCACAGGATCTGCAGGCATTGCATCCAGGAGGAGCGCCCGCAGGTCCGTTGCCCGCTGTGCCATACCCAGGCAGACCCAGAGGAGCAAAGGCCTGAAGTGCAATGTGAAGAGAAGGGGGAAAGCTTGGGACAGCAAGATGGGGTGATCCTGTGTGACTTCTGCCTTCAGGAGCCCCAGCCAGCTGTGAAGACCTGCGTGAACTGCGAGGCCTCCCTCTGCCAAGCCCACCTGAGCAAGCACAACACAAAGAGCTCTCTGAAAGAACATGTCCTGATAGAGCCCTGTGAAGCTCAGGTTTTGGCTGAGAGAAGATGCCCCCAGCACGGCAGGCTGCTGGAGTGCTACTGTGTGACAGACTCGGTCTGCATCTGCATGCTGTGCTGCATCATCAGCTCCCACAAGGACCACAAGATCACCACTCTGGAGGAGGCTTTTGGCAAAGCACAGGTAAGAGGCTGCCAGGACAGCCCTCAGAGCACAGGTTGCACTAGGAAAACCACAGGGACCTGGGGCCCAGGGGCTGCCCGCCGCACAGAGATGAAACGTTTCTTGAGGTTCAGATCTGCAGACTTGGGTTGGGGCTAAATCTCCAGCTTGGGATATTGAGCTTTTATTCCCAGTTTTGCCCTAGATTCCCTCTGGGGATGCAGGGATATAAAACAAGATGTTATGAAAACTTTCTTCCCACCCTGAGAAGCCAAACTGGTGGGACCGGGTGCATGTGACTGTGCTCCTAGTCCTGGGTGCAGTTCCAAGCCGAAAGTATTTTCAGTTTCAAAATGTCTTTCCTGTGCTTGTGATTGCAGTATTTGTCCAGGGCTACAACCTTCCAGTAAACCTTTATGATTCATTTGACCTGAGAGCAAGCAGTCCTGTGTCCATAAAGCTGTTGATCTCTTGCACTTGTGTCCATCCTATCTTGATACCTCCCGCTGGTTATTTTTACAGGGTTTTTTTACTGAAACCCTGGAAGCAGTGAAAAACCACGAAGCTGCGCTGAATCACAGCATAGAAAACCTGCTGAAACAAGAGGAGGAAGTAAAGGTTTGTTCCAAGGTCCAACCGCCACTCTGGGGATGGTTGTGTGCTGGTAGCTGATAAGGTTTTCTTTTGCCCTTCCCCATATTGCGCATTCCGAAGTGGTTTTAGTTCCTGGTGGTTTCTCGGTTCTTCTCTAGGTTTTGTTTTTTTAGGGAGGATGATGAACAACTTTCTTACTTCCCTTTACTGGGAAGTACATTCTTTGTTTGCAGAGGGCATTTGAGCTTGAAAATTGCTGTTAAGTCCATGCTTCCTGATTGGTAGGTGGTGGTATCACACACTATGCTATTGTGGTTTTATTCCTCTTTACAACAAGAAAACCCTTTAGGTTAGCCTGTGGTTCCAAGATGCTGATAGGAATGATGTTAAAAGATTGCCCCCAAATGTCTGGGTTTTGGTCCCAGCATGCCAAAACCTATCTAAAAGCTTGGAAGAACAATGAACTTAACACAGGTCTCCAAATCCTAGTTCATTCTGCTCAGGCAGAATTGGCACTTGTCTTCCTCCACCAGTAAAAACGATAGGACTTGAAGTCCTGGCACTGGACAAAGGTCTGAAGACAGAACTGTACTTGGCAGTTGGTACTTGTACATCCTCACCCATCCTTAAAGGGACCAAAGACAACTAATGCAGAATATGGGAATACAGTGGAAAGGCTTCAGCAAGCATCATGCAAGCTGCACTACTTTTTCATCTTTGCCTGGTTAGGTGCCAGATGCTGGGGCACTTGTGTCACTTGGCCCTTCTGCTGTCAATGGGACATCTTGGTTTGTTGTCACGTGGAGAGACACTAAGTTAGTATTTGCTTCTCTGAGCCCAGAAGAGAGCAGGCTCTTTTCTGAGTGAGAGTGATTGGGTTTAAATGTAAGATTCAGTCCCTAACAGCTTTGAAAGTGTTTTCTTAACAGACTGAGGAGGGCCTGCGGAGGGATCGGCTGGAGAGCCTCTTCAAAGAGATGTGTCTGCAGCTAGGAAACAGAAAAGAAGAGGTCCTGAAAGCTCTCAGTCACAACGAGGAGCAACAGCTTTCTTGGATTCAGAAGGAGATGCAAAAACACAAAGAGGGGAAGGATGCAGCCAGCCGTGATGTACGGGAGCTGGAGGCTCTGAGAGATCAGAAAGACCTCCTTCTTTTCATCAAGGTACCTAACAGCATCTCCCTTGCCAGAGACACTCAGCTCCTGGGCTACCCTTTGCCTGTGCTATGCTAATTCTACTTTCAAACTGTCTTTTACAGGCTTTTTCAGCAATTCAAACCAGGTAAGCTCTTCCCAAGGTGGACTACTGTCGCACCACACATTGCTTCGGGTGACTGATAGCCTAGCCTGCATGCACTGGGCTCACCCTTTGGCATGCTGATGGCACACTGAGCCTGAAGAAGCCCCAGAGGCCGTGTGTGACTTCTCATATACAGCACGGCTTATTTTTCTGTGCCCTCTGCACCTATTCTCAAGTCCCATTCTGAGGGCAATTCCTGAATGTTTAGGTCCCTGTATGGGCATGCAAAGGACAGATGAGCTTAGCTATCCCGAGTCATCCTCCAGCTCGCATTGCCTTCTGCTTGTAAGAAGCGAATGTGGCAAGAGCCAAACATAGAGCGCAGTCTACAGGGTTCATGGCCTTTCTCCTGAGCTGTTCTCCCAGTGTCTGCCCTGCTCCTCCACCACAGCATGCACACAGGCTCCCCCAGCCCTGCATTTTGGGTTTAGCAGCTCACCCAGGGCTGTGGAAATGCAGCACATCTCATCTGCTGATGAGATCTGATCATCTGATCTCATCAGCATCATTAGCTGTGCCACCTCACTAGCTCCTGCTCCGAGGACTGAGGTCTACAGCCGCAAACAGGATGCTAGAGTCTGTCCTGGCAAAGCGGGGCTGAGGTGGCTGAGACAAGGTCCTCTATGGACAGATACTGTCCGTACTTCAGCCTGATGATGCTGAAGAGATTTGCAGTTCTGGGAGAAGACCAGTCAGAGAGGGAGTCCCTGATAAAGCTGCAGAGAGATGGGAGGGTGAAAGGTGCTTTCTGTGTGTCCCATCAAGGCCTGGTGTGGAGTGAGGGATGCAGTTGTTGGCTCAGGGATGGGCTTGGGGATGGTTTTCTGATGCCTTTCTGCTGCTCTTCTGATGTCATTCTGCATGTTTTAGGGAACGCATGCCAGTTTCTAAGGATGATGATTTAAAACCAACGCCACCCATTATTTTGGATAAATTAACAACAGATGGTACTCTAAGGCTTTTCCAGGAATTCCTCTCAGACATGCAGTCCTTATTTAAATCACCGCCTGGTAAGTGGTCATTTCACTCTGTAATGAGCAACATGGAGAAGCTAACAAAGCATATTCAAGAAAAGACTGTAGTAAAACACCAAGTACTCAAAACTAGATCTAGAAGAGCTGATTGCTAACACTTACTAGATGATCTTTAAGGTCCCTTCCAAGCCAAACTGTTCAGTAGTATTCTGTGATATGACTCTATGATTATTTTCACATACATGTACATAAAAGGACGCTTGCCCCAGGCTTCAGTGCTTTGGACATGCCTTGAACATACCCTGCTAAAATGGATTCTAGGTAAAGAGGTATGGATGTCCTAGGACGTGTGTGGGAAGATTTAGAGAGAAGAATAGCGATAGCTTTTCCATCTGTAGCACCACTTTGATTCAAAGCATGGGGAAATTTGAGAACTCATCACAGCAGTGGCAGGTGGAGTTTGTCTTATGACAAAATAATCCCCTCTGTGTGTGTAAGTCTACTCTTTGTGATGTCTTGTAAGACCAACCTACAGCAGTGGTTTTGTGCACAGTGGGAAGCCTATCCAATTCGATTAGACAAACAAAGGGTTCCCTTGTAATTGCTGCATGGAGGGTGCTTGAGCCCTGCCTGACAGTGAGCCTAGAGTCAAGACCAAGAGGCAGCTGGAGTGGGAAGTCTCTGCCCAGAGCATGTGTGATGTGCACACCTAATTGGCTGCCACCCGTACAGCCTTGGGTATGCTGAACAGTGCACCATGCTCATGGCCACTCCCGGGCTCTGTCTTTACCATCCCTGTAAGCACAGTCCAGACCTATTCTAGCTAGAAAGCCCCAGAGCCAGGTTTTCCTCATTGTCCATGCCATCTGAGCAGCTCAGGTTAGTTGTCCAAGTCACCGCTGCTATTTGGTTCCTGAAGGAGTAACTTCCACAGCAGAGAACGCCACAGAATCGAAACGCATTGCGAGGAAGAGGTCAGAACAAACACGTTCTGCAAATTCCCCACTACAGAATTCCCTCCTTGTGCCTGGCCACGCTAGGAGGTTTTGAGAGCTCTAGAAAACACCTTCAAATGATCCTAAGCAAATAAGCGTGTATAAAATGGCTGTGCCACTGCTCGCATGTTTCTCGTCTGTGGAAGTTAATCCGGGAAGTTTCTAGAAGTGCCTAATGAAGCTCTGCAGGGCACTAATGGAAAATGGGGATCTCAGAGCTGCTGCCGTTGGAAACACAGAGCAAGGCATTTTACAATTGTGAAAGAGCAGCGTTTCTTGAGATGTGGGATCACCCCCTTTTAGAATGACATGGGAGCAGCTAAGAGAGGTACAGAAGTGCTTTCAGTTAACATGCTTTTGGTGACTTGGATGGGTTGGACTTGAATGACTTGGATAGGGTAACTTGTGTTGCCTTGGATTGGGAAATCCAGCCTCCAGCAACTGGGGGATGTGTGGTATCTGTGTGTTGGTTTTCTTTCTTTCTATAGTTCATGAACATCTGACGACTTCAGTGTGTCAAGAAGCCAGATTTTATTTTGGAAACAACGCATTCCATGTGCCCCCAAAGCACCAATCTAGAATTCTCAGTGTGGATGCAGTAACAGCCCCTATCCCCCAGCTCAAGAGCAATGAGAGTTTCTCAGAAGGCTGTCACTTCTGGGAGGTAGACACTAGCAACATGAGCCACTGGATACTTGGAATTGCTTGTCCCAAGTTTCAGTGCTATCTGGAAGCATCTTCTCATTACCTCTCTCTGTTCCTAGATAAAACACTGATCATGGGAAAGCACTTTCCTACAGCCCTTGAAGTGATCAGGGTAGAGGTAGACTGTGGAAGAAATAGGCTGTCATTTTATAACGTGTCTGTCAAGGATGGAGATCCTACTGACAGTCTCCATCTTATAGAGGCAGTAAGCATCCCTTTCACCTACCCTGTCCATGCTACCTTCAAGATATCTGAAGGCCCTCTGAAGCTCCTGTAGTGATGTGGGGACAAGGTGCTGTTTTGTATGTCTCAGGCGATCTATCAGGACTGCTGCTGCGTGGAGGCTATGCTAAGCTGGCATATGAGAAACTGGAATTGGGGCTGCTGTGATGGCTTTATCTCTGTGAGGGCAAGGCCTCTGTGGGGTGTATCACAGCACACAGCTGCTCACCGCAAGAACTCCTATCTTCTGTTAGTCACGATGGAAATGCTGTTGTGCTTTTTTGCTCAGCTGTACCAAATTCTGTGTTGGCTGCATGCTATTACATCTAGTTTGCAGAACTGAACAGCAGTTCAGTTCATAAAGGAGTTGAACTGCTACAGAACAAAGCAGCAGCAATGCTGATCTTTAATGCACAACTGAAGCAATCCCCTGCAGAAGCAAAGCTGGGCTGGGAGGCGAGTGGAGACTAGGTGGTAAGACATCTGGTTTCCTCTCTCTCTGCTGCTGACATCCCCTGCGAGGTCTCTGATAAGATCATTTGCCAACTTTTTTGCATGAATTTTGGGTTTTCTTTTCACCTGTGCAAAAATCTCTCAGCAAAGGGAACAATAAAGCAGAAAACTCTTGTGCTTTTATTCTGTACCATACGGGGCCTGGATTAGTTTGTTCTTATGTCTGAACACCTTGGGGAGGAAGAGATGCTATTCCTGCTTGTTCCTTGTGGTTCTGGTGCCTTCAAACCAAGCCAAGGTATTTTCATTAAGAGGTCCAGGCAGGAGCTCTTCGCCCTAGCAGAGACAGTGAATGACCTCAAGGGACACCACAGTTTTACACATGACAAAAGAAATCCTTGTTCAGTCTTAGAAGAAACCGGCTGTGCTTTATCTTTTGTATTTTATACACCAAAATGATATGGAAAACGATGCAGGCAGCGTCAGGTCTCTCAAATGCACCTGCAGTGGCTGCTGCTCTGCCTTATCTCGGGTGGTATGTGTGCAGAAGGAGGTAAGCAAGGCTTGTGGCATCGTGCGGGGATATTCCTATCCTACAGTGCTTTCATCAGTGCCCACTTCCCTGTGGCTGCACCAACGCCTGGCCCCTGAGTTCTCCCTGCTTTACCTTCAGGGCAGGACCTGTAACCGCTGTGGAGCGGAACCAGAGAGAGCAGAGGGAGCCCCTGGCTCACCCACGCCCTTCTCACCCAGAGCTCCCCTTCACCCCGCTGCCCCCGCCCGCGGCCGGATCTTCCCGGGAGAGCCGAGCGGCGCCCCCCGCCAGCCTGCTGCGGGCTCCACATGGAGCAGTGCCCCGAGGGCGCAGGGCAGCGGCTGCCCCGCTCACGGGAGCGGTTTGGGGGTGGAGCCTGGGACGGAGGAGTAGATGAGGGCAAAGGGGCAGGACTCGCAGCCTGAGGGCTGAGTCAGAGAGCGGGCCCGGTGCCGAGGAGCACCGCGTAGGTTCGCTTCTCGCGGAGCGGCCAAGGCGTCATGTCCGCTGCCACGGCCAGAACTTGGGAAGAATCCGGAAGGGGTGCCCGCATGGAGGACGAGCTCAGCTGCCCCCTCTGCCTGTCTCTGTACAGGAGCCCAGTGCTGCTGAGCTGCGGTCACAGCTTCTGCGAGCACTGCATCAACCAGGTGCTTGATGGCCAGCAGCAGTCCAAGGCCCCTTACTCCTGCCCCATATGCAGGCACCAGCTGGGGCCCGTCCTGGAGCTGCAGAAGAATTTCCAGCTGGGCAGGATCGTGGAGGCGTTTATGGCTGCTTCCGAAGGGCAGCAGGGCTTGAGCTCTGCAGGGGAGAAGAAGGAAGCGGTTCCCTGTGAGTTCTGCCTGGATCCGCCGAAGCCGGCGGTGCAGACCTGCCTGGCCTGCGATGCGGCTTTGTGCCAGGCCCATCTGAACAAACACAACACCAAGGCTTCCTATAAGGACCACGTCCTGGTGCGGGTGGGGGCAGGCGCTGCTGGGGAAGAGAGGAGGTGCCCGGAGCACGGCAGGCTGCTGGAGCTGTACTGCCAGGACGAGGGGCAGTACATCTGCGTGCTCTGCTCCATCGCAGCATGCCACAAGGGCCACAGCATCATCACCCTGAAGGAGACCTACGACAAGAGGCTGGTAAGGGGATCTCCTCTCCCCATGGTCCCTGTGGGGATTGCGCCAAACTCCTGACCTGGAGGAAGAAGGGGGGAAGCCACAGGAAAGACAACAAGGCTTTCTTGCTCTGGAAAGGGGATGGGGTGTGAGGGCAGGAATTTGCCTTTCATTTCCTCCCTTGTGTTGCCAAAGCAGCCTGGCAAGCTCAGCTGAGGCAGTAGAGCAGACATGGGTATTTGGGGCTGACCAAATCCTGCAGTGTGTGGTGACACGGGACAGCGAGCAAGAGGCAGGGCTTTGCTGTCCCGCACTGCCCTGGTGAGTGCCCGTGGTGTGCTGTCCATGTGGCTACAGACTGCCACTCACACAGCATTCCTGGCTGGGATTGAAACGTATTCCTGTAGCGATTATGAAGTCTCTTCTTCCACAGAGCCCCCTTCCCAACTTTGGGTTGGGAAACAGCTCTTCACACTCAGGGCGCTTCCATCCATCTCCCTCCTCCCTCTGCCCTAATTTTGCAGAGCAGGTGTCCCAGTGGAGACGTGGGGGCTTGATGTCCTTGCCTTTGAGTCCAGCTGTGTCTATGAAATGCTCCAGAATCAGCTGAGACTGAGGGGGTGAAATGCATTTGCTATGCTCACTCACTGCCTTGTGTTCGAAATGTTGGGGCTCAATACAGAGCCCAAGCAAAACACCCTGCAGGAACCCAGTGCATGGCCGTGAAACGCCTGGCTCACTCTGGACCTCAGGACAGGTCCCAGCCTCTTCAGGGATTAGCAGGAAGCATCCTTTGCACTCGCAGGTATTGCAAACTAACTTTCTCCCTCAAGTTACATACAAGTAGTTCAGGACTGCCAAACAGAAGTGGGCTGTGTACGATAGCAGCTATTTCCTTCATCCCTGGAGCAAGTAAAGGAGCAAAACCGCCCTCTCTATGGCAGTCATCTGCAATGTAAGCTGAGATCACAGCTGCATGTTCCTGTTGGGTTTGTGTTTGGTTTCTTTAACAAACAAACAAATGAACTCCCAGAAAAATCAGGGAAATGAGGAACACAGCTCTTCAGAAGGCATCATAAAAGGGTTTTGGTGCAATAAACATCAGTCAAATTTCATCAAGAAATGATATCTTTCATTCTGCTAGGATGAACTCTCAGACCTCATGACAAGGCTGCAGGAACGTAAAATAGCTTTAGCTACTGCCCTAGGAGAGCTTCAGGAAGGCGAGAATCGGCTCAAGGTTGGTACTCAGATCATCACTAATTCAGAGGATTTTTCCTCCACCATTTCCCATCAGTAAGTGATGGCAGCTCTACTGCTAGAAGCAGATTCATAGAAGTAGTCCAAAGTAGAGAAAACAGTGGTATAAGAAACTGCCAGAAGCCAGCCTTTCTCACAGCCTCCCAGCATAGCTCTAGAGGAGGAACCAGCTGGGAGACTCCACCATTTATTGTGGCTGCACAGGCCAGGCTGCAGGAGTGGCCGACCACAGACTGCACATCACTGTGGGGTTTCTTTAAAGTTTTATATCTGCTGAATGAAAGAAAACCAATTTGAGTTTACAAGTGGAATTTTCAGTGCGTGCCGATACAGTTCTCACGTTGCTAACTGGATTTTATCTGATTTTGTTACTGTGTCAGGATTAATATTCATAACCTTCTGTTCAGTCAGATAGTCCAAGCAAATGCTTATTGTCCACTTCCTCCTAAAGCCAGTGCAAAGGACAGATAAAATCCTAATTAATTAATAGAGACACTAAGCTGAAATGAGCCAGTGCACCATTCTGACCCAGTGCACCATTTTCTCATCTGTTCATTTAGACCAATACAAAAACAGTGACTTCTCAGCTGCAAAAGCTGTTTGAAGAGATAAAGACAGCGATAATTGAGAAAGAGAAGATGATCCTGGGTGACATTCAATCCAATGAGAAAAAAAACCTGGCAGATATTACCAAAGTGAAGCAGGAAATGGAACAGAAGAGAGATGAGGCTGCACAGCATCTTCAGTCTTTGCAGAAGATGAGAGAGCAACCAGATATGTTTCTCTTTGTCAAAGTAAGCAGTGGTATTCTGCTTTTCTTCATGAATATGCCTGTTTCTCAGCCAGGTGCCTTGTCTGGAAATCACACTAACGATTTTTTTTTCCTTCTTTTGGCAATGCTGTTTGCAGGAATTTAAACAGGCCAAGGACAGGTATGTTCCACCTGAAAACACTTGCTTTCTTCTTTGCAAAAAGATGGTGTTGGTAACTGGAATCAAACCCCACTGCCTGTGCCCCTCTGTCCTGGCTCCCTGTGCTGCACAGCTGCTCCCTGCTCCAGCTGAGCCAGAGGGCACCACGTCCACACAATTAACACGAATGGAGAGTTATCTGCCTGCCGTTCCAGTGGTCCATTGCAGTTTCCTTGGCAGCTACATGGCTGTGGGGTTCTGATGAGAACCACTGGTTTGTATTACCAGAATAACATTTTTATCACAGATGAAGCCCATAGGGGTCAGTTCACAGCAACACTCCTGGGTGTGTATTGGTGACACTTCCGCACCTAAGTCCCAGGAAATAGCCCTCACTGCAAAGGTACCTGGCTCATTCCCCACTGAGTTTTGCTTTTGCTCCTGGGCAAGCTTAATAGCAAGATATATTTATTATCCCTTCCCTTGAAAGTGATATATTTAATTTCTAACTTATTGCTTCCTAATTGATGCCTGGGTGTCAGGCTGTAATTCAATGGTACAAAACAACTGATCACAAGAGATTTTGCTGCAGCACTGAAGTGGCCAGCTGCATGAAGAGCTAGCTCAAACACCTAGCTGGATTTGAAGATGTTATCTTTATAACTTGTACAAATTAAAGCTGAGTTTGAACTTGGGTTATAAGGATAACTTTGAATCACCATGTACCTAAGGGCTGTGCTGGCAGCAGCACAATCCATTAATCGCAGCTGTGCCACAAGTCAGATCTAGCCTGTGGGATCAAAGTCATTTTCCAGAAGCCTGGACACTGTTTAATATGTTTGGCATTTTCCTTCTATCACGACAGCGGTTGTGCTAGAACAGTAAGAGCCTGCCTGCAGCAGGTCAGACCACTGTTGGCACAAGGGTATTAGCAAAATGCCTCCCCCTTTCTCATTTCAAGCATTTGAAAATTCCTGTTCATGTTTGGAAAGCAAAAGTCATTGCCAAATATACAAATATAACAATTGCAACTCACTTAACTTTATCAGAGAGCTGCTTACTTCATACTTCATGTTGCCAAAGCACCCTTCTCTTTGGAGCATCCTTTCTAACGAAGGAGTTTGTTAACTTTTAATGCTAAATGTTTTTCCTTGGTGAAATGACTGACTGTGCCCTAGGATTCTAAGTAAGAATTTCAGCATCAGCATGATGAACATGATGGTGGTGCAGCTGGACGAGGCCACGATTAACTGCTGTCGACGCTTCTCTTGGGAGGTCATGAGACAACTGGACTCGGCACTGCAAACCCTGCAGGGTGAGCGATCTGACCCCAGGCGGAAAGCAACAAGTGATGGGTGGCTGACGGGCACTGAATGGTGGCATGTGTGTGCTTTTGAGGGGGTTCACAAGGATTCCAGTGGGATCTTGGGACTATTGAAGAGGGGAGGCCAAAGAGGACAGAAAAACTTGTTTCTGGGGATAATAAGGAAAAGGTCCACTCCTAACTAGCATAAGGCCAGCTCCTTTTCATTTATCCACTCCTATCCCCATCTAGTCTGTCCCCAGCCATGAGATCTGAATGCACTGGCATTGCTTGCTTTGTAAAACACTTTTCTTGATCTTTCTTAGGTAAACTCGCCCAACAAGTTTGGTGGCACAGGTAAATCCTTTTCTTTACTTACAAAAATGTTCCCTGCAAATTTTTCCAGCAGTTATTAGTTTAAGGACTCTGTGGCCTGTGCTCCTCTGCACCAGTGTCAAGGAGAGCAGAGTCTAGAAGGCTGTCCCTCATCTCAAAAGGGGGAGTCTCTTACTTCATTATTAGCAAGATGTGATTTGTATTTTACAAGGCACTAACATTCAACCTTGTTTCTTTACAATGAAGCTTCAGACACTGATAACTGCAAAGTGTAAGTGTTCAAAAAGTACTAGTTATTCCTCAAAACTCTGGCTTGGGGCTGAGTCTTGCAGAGAAAATCTCTCACCTAAAAATGTGACTGGCATTTTGTTGCATGCCTCTCGTGTCCTTGCCATGGGTGAGGCCAGCAGGCGAGCAGCCTCAGAAACACTTCCCAAAATCTGAAGTGGGCAGAAATCTCTGGGAACTCACCAGAGAAATCATTTCTCTTGAGCCTGAGGGAGAGACTGGGTTTGCTTCAGCACTCAGTAAAAGCCTGAGCCTGCCTGAGGGAAGGAATGTGGAGGGGTTCCCACCAACTGAGCAGGAGCTGGAGCAAACCCAGAGCCTGAAAGGATCCCCAGACAATTCCAAATGCTGCAGGAGATACTAAATCTGTAAACAGCATTTCTCCTCAGACAGTGCTAGCTCACTGCTCAAATACATTTCTGCTGCATACAGTGGTGCATCTTTTCTACAAGCTTGTTTGAAGAAATGTTATTTAGAAGTTATTGGAAGGATTTTTTTATATATATTTTTCTTTGCTGCAACTAACCCTACCTTGTTTGGCTTTTTTCCCCACTAACTGAATTAGCTCATAAAATACGGAGCAGACAAGTGGCACAAAAAGCAGGTAAATGATTAAATGGAGTTTTAGATACGCAGCACAGCTTAACCATGCAGTTGTTTTCATTTAGAATTATGGAATTGATTAGAGTGGAAAAAATCCCTTTAAGATCAAGTCCAACTGCTAACCCTGCCCTGCCAAGCCCACCACTAAACCATGTTCCCAAGTATCACATCTAGGCATCTGTTAAATACCTCCAGGGATGGTGACTGCACCACTTCCCTGGGCAGCCTGATCCAGTGCCTGATGACCCTTTTGCTGAAGAAATATCTCCTAATATCCAATCTAAACCTCCCCTGGCACAACTTGAGGCCATTTCCTCTCTTCCTGTCTCTTGGTAACTGGGAGAAGAGATGGACCTTGCTACATCCTCCTTTCAAGTAGTTGTAGAGAGGGGTAAGGTTTCCCCTAAGCCTCCTTTTCTCCAAACTAAATAACCCCACTTCCCTCAGCTGCTCCTCATAAGACTTGTGCTTTAGACCCTTCACCACTAAACATAATGCCAGCCTCAAATCTAGAGGTATATTTTTAAATCAGTGTACATGACCATTTCTTTGTCTTGTGAGCTCAGTCTTCTACAGACATATTAATGTCTGTGTTCTATACAGAACCAGACAGCTACTTAAAACATGGGAGGGAGAGGAAATGCAATGCTGTACTTGAAAGCAACTTATCAAATATGTTATTAGCATAGCAATACAATACTATTTTATTAGTACAGTAAGTGAAGCTTTTCAATCTTGTGTATTCCTGCAGCACAAATGGCACTGCCAAGCCCACTATACTTCAGAAGGCAGATCACGGGATCAGAGTCTCACAGAACTGCTGGGAATGGATGGTACTTCTGGGCATCATCTAGTCTAAAACCCCTGTACAATGCAGGGGTACTGAGAGCAGGTTACACAGGATTGTGTCCAGGTGCATCCGACAAGACATTCCACGACCCATACCAGTGACCTTCCCTCCTCAACATGAACTACATGGACTGTCCCAATTTATCCCAAAGTAAGAGAGATGGAAAGAAAAAGTTAAATATTGTCAAAATGTCCTCTAACCATGGGGACCTGCCAAGTGTCTTGACCTCCCCTGCATGCCTGCTTTGAGAGCAATTCTGTAGCATATGCAAATTGCGAAAAGAAGTGCTAAGAATTAACACGAACATAAGAAAATCTCCACCTGCTGCTGGCTTCCAAACTGAACTATATAATCTCATGTTATTAATGATACTTGCGTACTATTAATAATGTCTATTACTACTATTAGTACTACTATTAATACTGTCATTATGTGGTTAGATAACCAAAGAAATGCCTAACGATACCGATAAGTAAGGCTGGCTGATTTTATACCCTGGCTAGAAATTAATTGTTGAGAGCACTGTTTGCAGATGGCTGCAGTAGAAAACTGTTCAGGACAATGCTGCCAATTTAACACTAAGGATCTTTGTGGCAAATAATTACTTATCTTTGTGTGAGTCAGCATCCAAGCCACATTTTAACACTTCTACAGAGCGCACAAAGAGCCATGCAAAATACCACAGTCACTAGTGTATGAAGGTGCTCTGCTGGCCACATCTCCATGTGTACAGATGTTATTTTTTAATCAAGCACATGCTGTGTGTTCCAGATGTAGCCCTTATTTCACATACCAACTTCACTGAAGGATTTCAGGGACACTGCCAGGCAGGTAGGCTCACTCCTTGTTGCTGTAGGCTGCTCTTGTCCTAGCTGTGGTTCAGGTCCAACATATAGGTTCACAACCTGGGTGTTTTTTCTCCAAATGATAAAAATATTCTACTGCAAACCAGGGTTGACAACATAAGCATTTTTAAGAAATTAAAGGCTAAAGTTTGGGGTACTTCCATATAAGTTAGGATTCCTGGCTGTAACTGTATTCTGTCACTTGTGATAATCTACATATACCTAACTGTAGAGATTAAAAGCAATAAACTCAGCAAAATCCATCTCAGATTTAGAGTAACACCTTCCTTCGTCGTTTAAATGGACTCACCAAGCTGTAATGGTGGATCTGCAGCCCTTGCTCTGCTGCACACATCAATTGTCAGTGTAACAGAAAGCACTTGGCCAAACTGGGGGAGCTCAGCAGTAGCTCAAGGTGACTTTGCAAGTATTCCCTACTGCTCAAAGCCAGTGAGACATAGACAGCTGCTCTCACTCAGATGAGGCAAAAAGAATGAGCCTGTCCTTTGGCACTTTTATGGCCTGGGCTCCTCTCTGGCTGCAAGGTAGTTATTTCATTCTAGGTGAAGGAGCCATGACCAGGCAATGCAGTTCAATGCTGCTGCTGCAGGCAGCAAGTTACTGCACTGCTGCAAATCACTACAGAGAGTCGGAGATTTACTCGGTGGTATTTTAAGTCACACTCCCATCCTACGCTGAGGACACTTTGGAAATGTCAGCACTTCTGTCGCCCTTTCTAAAACATCACTTTAGCATTTCCTCAATGAAACCTGCATTACAAACGTATTCCTGTGCCTCCAGCTACAGATTGCTGTGGGTGAACTGGAACACCACTCTTGGCTTCACTAGATGAGGGACAGGGTGGCTGGCAGCAGGGTGCTGATTCCTGTGCTCCCAGGCAGCTGTCCTCACCAGTGTGTTCCTAGATGTACGGCTGCCCCCTTGCCTGCAAGAGATGCTCACTTTTTAACACCATTTCTGACAGTCTTTGAGAAGCAATGATGATACTTTTTTTCCCCAGGGAGGATGAGGTACTGATTTCACTCTTCCTCCAACGCCATCAGCTGCCAGAATCTTTAAGCCTCTGGTAGAAATATCTGTGACCTGTTTAAAGGAAAGTCCTCCCAGAAACCTTAGCCATGGATGAACATCCAGTTCTCACGAATGGAGTTACATTCCCAAGAGCCTCTCAGAAGGGCTGGGAGCAGTCGAGAAGGGAGTATGTCTGCAGCAGGCTGAGTCAGGCTGTTTGTGCCTTCAGAAGAGCTCTGCAGCCCTCCTAGACAGTTGTAATGCTGCCTTTGAAGCGTCAATCACACATAATGCAGTATTATGCTAAAGCTGGAGTACTCAGCCTAACTAAACCCCAGGACCAATGGGACTTGCTGACCAAAGCAAAGACAATAATTGGTTGGCTGGAACTTGCCTAGCATCTCATTTGGAGGGAAAAATGCAGGTAACTCTTCACTGCTAGGCTTATTGGACTCAGATTTGGGGCTGATGTGAATACTTGCCCAAACATAGTAAAAGAAGGTGGCTATTGAGGCAAAATTGATGTGATTGAGGAGATAAGGACTTTATAATCGCTGCTAGAAGGCAAAAGCAAAGGGTTTCATTTCAAGCAGATTGGAAAAAATACATTTTTTTAAAACTGCTGCAGGCTCAAAAAGCTTTTGGATGAAAATTAGTATCTAGGAAGGTGGATTTTCTGAGTTAGATACTAAGCTCATGGTGCAGTTTACTTTCCCCATACATTTGCCTGCTATAGTATTAGCAAAGATAGATTCCTTTGAATTTGAGACATCATTTGAGTGATGAAGCAGAGCTGGATTGCAGAGGGGTTTTATTGATGGAGTACAGGGTGATAACACTGTCCTGTGCAGCCCCTAGAGCTCTCTGCTGGAGGATCAGGGCACAGTGGGACTGTACGAGAGCTACAGGGTGAAAGGCGAGGTGGGAGAGCTTCCCTGACTGGGAGGGGCCGGGATGCACAGGAACAAGTACCCAGGCGGACAAAACGGAGCCTTCTTCCACTATTACTTTGCATTCTGAGGAGCTGCCCTCTGCAGGTTTGCTGTTCCAAAGGTGACGGGGCAGTCTGGAGAACGGAGCAGCAGTCTGACAAGCTCACTGAGTGGGACGGGCAGATGGCACGTGTATTTGTGTGTCAGCAAGCCCCAGCTCGCCTTTCCTTGGCAGGAGATCCTGGAGCATGAGGAGCCCCAGAGGCACATTTCTCCAAGGCCAAAGGTCCCCTAAATGCAGAAATACATTAACCACAAAGCTTAACGTACATCAGGAAGAGGAAGGCAGTTGGAAGTTAAATGACAGAGTTATCTTAAATATTTACTTGTATTTTTTCCTCCACTTTTTAAAAAATCATCATACAGTAAAAAGAAAAAAACAATAGCAGTGAAAGAAAAAAATAATCGTGATTCTGAAAAATTAGTGCTTGGGAATTTTTTTAATATCATGTTATTTGTGCTCCAAGAAGATATTATTTCCCTTTTTCTTCTATGAAGGCACAAGGTATTTGATGACCCAGGTTGTTCCACAGCCCGTGCCTCCAGAACAATGAAAATGCTGTGACACTTGTTGCTTGGTTTTGAGGGTTTTTATCAGGTTTGTGCGGGGTCCCTACACAGAAGGCTCCTCTTAAGGCTTTCAACACAGATCTCACTCCTCACAAGGATTCGCTGTGGTAGTCTTTGAGTCACCATGCACTTAAAACTCAATTAAAACTCGTGTGGAAGGCTCTAAGAGGACTGGGAAGTCAGAGCCACTGGTGCTGGGTAAGCAGGGGAGAGGGAGTGAGCTCTTTTACTTCCTTTGCAAGTTGCCTGTGCTACTTACATCTGGTGAAACCCGTGTGGAGGCGGTACGTGTTTGCTCGCAACTGGAAATATGACGTATTTCTACAGCAAGATTTATAGCACTTGTCTGACACCGAAAGAATGAGCAGGAATTCTGCAGGCTCGAAGCTGGTCTGGATTTCTCTGCCCATGTATTAATGGGCTTTTTGGCAGCTCAGGGTTCCACCTGAAATGCAAATATTAGGCGATATTCGATTTCAGAGTATGCCTGCTTTGCTGTGCAAGTGCCGAAGGACCGGCAGGAGAGGCTGGGCAGGGACACTGCCCTTGAACCTCCAGTGCAGAGATAAAAGGAGCGCACTGAACAAAAACCTGGTGTTTTCAATACCAGCATCATCCAAGTTCCTCTGCCCTTCCCAGTTGGAAGTACTCCCAGACCCAGACACCGGAGCAACTAACACAAAAGGACTTTAAAAAACTCTTCAAATGAATACTAGTGGTTCCACAACAGGAAATCAGACAGTTTCTCAGAAATTGTTATGGTTTCCCTATCTGTATCAGTTTCAGGTCATTTTACCTCCAGTTACCACCACATACTTCATCTTTCAACTTAGAAGAGCGAGAACATCTTAATGAGCTAAACCACGGGCTCTTCACTGGAGTTCCTCCATTTTTTCATTCCAGGTGGTTGTTTTGTGGGGTAGGGCAGCAGGACCAGTGAGTCACCCTCAGCACCAGCCTTCCTCGGCCCGCTCCTAATTCAGAACACACTTGATATTAATTACACGGTAAAAAGAGACGCTGGGGAGCAGTTTCGGAGGTTAGGTCCTGTCTGCTGCCTTGGGCCTGTTCCGGGCCTCCCGCGGCCTCCGGGCCCTCCCCGAGTAACGAGGGGCGCGGCGGGGCCGGCTCGGCCCTTCCCTTCCCGCTCCCTCACGGGGAGGCGGGCGAGGGGCAGGGCTGGGGAGGCGCTGCGGCCGCTCGGTAAATCGGGGAGTCCTGCCCGCCCGGCCGAGGTGTGCCTGTAGCCGCCGGCGGCCCGCGGTGAGTGGGCGCTATGAAGCGAGGGAGGCCGGAGGGGCGGTGAGGGGCAGCGGAGCGGGTGGCGGGGGCATGGCGGCTGTGGGGTCTTGGTGCGGGCCCGGCCCAGCTCGGCTTCCTGACGGGGAAGTTCCGCTTGGACCCCGCTTTATGGAGCGGCTCCCCCGGCGGTGGCTCGGAAGAGGGAAATGGCAATGAAAGCCGGGAGGGGAGGTCTCGCTGCAGGGGTGGGGGTGTGAGCCCGGTGGCCGCTGTGTGCGAAGGAAGTGATGTTGAGACTGAGAGGATGGAACTGTTGTGTTAAAGCTTCCCTTTCACTGTCCTGCAAACTTAGACGTTGGCTTCCAAAGTGATACACGGGCTCTCAGGCAAAACAACCCCCAAACAAAACTATTCCAGGAGTATCAAAAGCGCGTGGATTCCTTCTTGCAGGTTTTAGTGTTTAAAACCCCACGTTTTTTAAGGGGTCTTTTCTCCAGTGCAAACCGTGCTCATGGCTGAGCCGGCCGGGTCTCCCGCACAGCCCTCTGCCGCGGAGCGCTGCTCCCCTCGCCGCTGCCAGCGTGGCGTGCTGAGGGCTGGCAGCCGCTGCCCCTGGGGCAGCCCGAACAAAGCTCCCCAGTGTTTTACCTTGGGTAGCTAACGGTAAGGGCGGGAGGAGTGGCCTGGCTTGGAAATGGCTTGCTGAAAATAAGACTTGGCGAACTCTACAGCGGAGTGGGTTTGGTTGGGAACTGCTGGCGTGCTGTGCGAGGCGGCAGCCGGTGGCTTACAGAGAGATCCGCCTTGGACAGGACATGGTATCCGTCACGCTGGATGTGCAGCCTCTTTCGGGGAGGTGAGGTGGCTTACCTGGGAGGGCTGGCTGCGAGAGGGGCTGTTGGCTTCCACAGGACCTTCCCGAACAGCCTGGTGGCTGTGTGAGGCTGGTGAGTGGCGTTATTGCTGCTGAGGAGAGCTGAGCTTCAAGTAGGAGATTGGATATTTCACACAAACAAAGTTTTATTGCTTGGCTTTGTAGGTTTTCCCTCTTGAGTTAATGACGGGATTACTGTGCCGACAGTAGGGTAGCTCTGTGCCTAGTGTGTTGCTTAAATGTGGTGAGTGTGGTCTATGTTTTATGGTTCTTGGTGTTCATATGATTTAAAGTCTCTTGTTGAGATACATGTTTGTAGCTTGGATGCTTTGTTGGAGGATGTTGAGGGTTTTGTCATAAACCTGAGCTTTCTTCCAGGATACATCAGTGTTATTCCAGTGCTTATCCCAGTGTTCTCATGGCAGTATTGAATTTCCTTGTTGCTCCACAGCAGTTAAGAGATTATTTGGAAAAGGCTGTTGTTCAGCAAGAGTAACAGCAGAGATGTAGTTACCAGAGTGTTGTGATACGCTTTCCTTTTATGCTCCTAGGGTGAGATTTCCAGAGGACCCAGAGGTAGTAGTCCTTATGTGGAACTTGGATTTCTGATTCACCTGCTTCTCCTTTACATCTCTTCCAAAATTACTCATCTCTCTAGATTATGTGCTTACTCATTAGTTTTTAAGTACATGCAGCTTCCTGTGTCTGGCAAATGGGTGGGGGTCCCATACAGAGAGGATTCATGTGCATAGCATTTGGAGAAGTAATCTGGCAAACCGAGATCATTGTTGTGGAAAGAACACTCTTGATTTAGTTTCTACTCTTAAAAGCTCACGTATTAAGTTTAAGCTCATAATATGTTATTTCAGCAGGTGAGTGAGATTCACAATCTATTGTTTTCTTGCTGTCAGGGTGACTGTGAGCTGAGATGGAGGAAAGAAGTCTGAGCCAGCAAGGCCCTTTGCTCCAGGTAGTGTTTTCCCAAAGGCAGATGCTAGCTTGCCTCTGCTGTGTCATGGTGTCAGTAAGAAAGGGCCAGATGGGATCCATAAGTAGTCAAAAGTTATCAGATGCCAAGAATGCAGTACCTCACCATACCTGTATTTTATGGTAGTCACTTGATAAGAGAGGTACTGGAGATTTTCTTCAGGTCTGTGTTGTAGTCTTTTACTTTATGTCTTAAATAAGGCTTTGTGGCAGTTGGACACCCCTTGAAGATCTTACTCAGGCCAAAAGGAGCTTAGAAAAGTGCATTTTAGGCACACAAATTAGTTACTTATAAATAGCATCTTTGAAAATGAAAAACAGAGTAGCTCCCTTTCCAACTTAACAGAATCTCCTTCAGTGTACTGAACCAAAGGGTGTTTGTTTGGAGTTTTTGGGCAAGAACAAAACCCAGTTTTACTCGGCAAGCTTGGGCTAAGCGGTTACAGAAGTCATACAGAGCAACGCTCTCAGGATGAAACGGGTGTTGGAAATGGTGTCATTTCCCAGTGCCCCGACATTGCGAGAGGCAGTGTGATGAAAGACCCTTTTCATGCCACAAAGAGAAGGTTGTCATGCAGGTCAAAGATCCAGTGTATGCTCGGAGTTTAGTAGCCAAGAGGAATGCTATTAGAACATTTCTGTACTGTCTAGACATGACTGAGGAAGAACTGGGTGTATGCAGATGTTTTACAGCACTGCCCAGAACTGAACTGAACTATCTGGGGTTTGTGGTGTTGTTCTCTGACATGATAAGAAAAAAAATCCTATGTTTGAGTGAGCTATCTACAAGTCCTGGGTGAGGGATAGGGGAATCAGAATTTCCATTACTAAGATGTTAGAAAACAAACTTATTCAAGCAGTTTGCTACTGCCCTGGGTTCGGCAGGCTTAAACCACAACAGCTGCACAAGAAAATAGCCTGGGGTGAATTTTTCCCTCAGCTTTTACAGTATTGATTTGCTGAGCTTAGGGTGAAAAGCTTTTTGATTTGTAGCTGTGCTTGTGAAATAAGTAAAACTGCTTGAGTAAAGATAACTACAGAATGCACTTACACAGAGTAGTGCAGACATGTGCTTTCATTCACTATGTTCACTTGATATACCTTGTGTAGTATTTGCTTTTTCTTGTAAATGCTATAAATAATCCCTGCGATTATATACAGGGGAGTGAGATTAGTAACCTAGAAGGTAGGGATGGGTTCTCTTCCATATGGGTTTCCTGTGGGATCTTGGTATGTAATTTCTTGCACTGCATATTTCATATAATAGGTGAGGTTGGAAAAGACCTTTAAAGATCATCAGGTCCAGCCTTCACCTGAGGTTTCCTCTCGAATATTAATTCTTCATATGGCTCTTTGAGCCCATAGTTATTCTAAAACACATTAAAGATGCTGAATCAGAAGGTATTAGCCAAGGGACATTCATCATTTATAATGTGTCTGTAGGTATGTGATCCAGTAATTCTATATGTAAGGCTGCAAGATTACAGTTTGAAATAATGAAGAAAGCACGCAGACAAAACTAAAGCTTTCTTCTCTTACCTTCTGTTTACTAGGTGATTGGCTTGGCTAACAAGAACAGATACAGAGGCGTAAATGCATGGGAAAATTTAGCCCTAAAAATGCGTATTTTTTTGAGTTCTGGGTAAACTGAGCCTTGCGTCCAGAGCTGTTGGTTCTCCAAGTTGTGAGGGTCAGGATGAAAGGAAGACCACAGATACCAGAAACAGGACTTGGATTCAGATTATGGAATCATCCACCTAGGTCTCACCTAACCCAGTAAAGCATTAAACCTTTATTTCTGGAGTGTGACTTTCCTTAAAGCAGCTCCTCTGCCCGTGCTCAGAACAGCATCCACAAAGGGGAATGTGCTCCGCAGTTGTTGCACGTAGAGCTGTTTTCAGCTTTCTCATTTGCAGACCACCCTGCAGACCCCATGCATGTGGTTCAGATGAATTAGGCATGGAGTTGGAGATACGGGAGTATGGAACAGGGAGGGAGCTGGAGGAAAGCACTGATGCACTACCAGATGTGGAAAATGAGAGGTAGGCATTTAATCAAGCCTCTTGCACAGAGCATGAGTCCTGGTAATGCTGTTCAGCCTGCCCCGTGTGTTGTACAGGTTCTGATATCATACCAGGAAGGCATAACAGCCTTTCTTACACAGAAAATCCATCCCTGGTGATGCCAGTCGTGCTGTTCACAGTTTCGGAGCCCGGGAGGTCTCTGTGCAAAGCACAGCTCCTTTTCAGTGCAGTCCAGCAGCAGGCTGCCCGAGTGAGCTGTGTTTGGTTATTTGTAAGGGTACAGGAACTTGCCCACCAGTCACTTGCTGTCTCTGTATCTGAAGTGAATAAAAACGCTGTTTGGGAGTCCCAGTCTGCAGCAGCAGATAAAATGCCTCTGGTATTTCCTGTTGCCTATCTATTAGCATCAACCCTGTGTGTTGACTTCAGATAGCTGTGTGCACACTGTGACCTGGTAGCTCTAGTGAGAAGTATGTGACAGTGTAAGGTGGAAGAGTTGGTTTACTTGGGTTAAATTGCTTAATATTTAGAAGGCTGTTCTAGAAATCTCTGAGTATTTTTATCTGGAAAGAGAAGCCAGTTTAAATGTGAAGTATTGCAGCTGCTTCTGCTCTGGTGTGCATTCCTTTGATATGGTTAGGATAATTTGCTTAGGTTGTTTCAAGACATCAGGAACTTGGGTTGATATCGTCTTTCTAGCCAAAAGAGCTGTAGGTAGTTAAACTCTGAGCTAGCAGGCTGCTGGAGGCCTGGCTGTGTGTGAACCATCATGTAGGGCTGATGCAGGGCACTTTGGATATGACTGCATCAGACCTGGAAAGACAGAATGAAAATTGTACCCTCCAGCTAGCTAAACTGAGGTCTAAGAGAAGACATTTCCTCTCTGCATAGCTGTAGGATCAGTGCCTTGTAATGGGCTGACTGCAGGAGAAACTGGTAGGTAAGTGTCATGCTTAAATTCAGTTCTCTCACTTCTCCTCTCATGCTTTTCTGAGACTTACCGTGAAAAGATAGTAGCAGTGAATGTACTAGAGCTACTTGTGAAATGGTGATTAAATGAACTAATTTTAAGCTGTGGCATCCTCAGCACTGCTAGCTCCAGTACTGATCTGGTAATTAAGTGGTAAACATTGCGTAGAACATTAATTTGGCTGATGTTTGCACTGCACAAAGAAGGTGTAGTCAGCACATAAGGGATATGTTGTTTATTAGCACTCCGGGGCTGCAAGGCAGTATTGGAAAGGGAAGCCTGGGAGTTAGACTTTTCAGGGTTCTGCTGCTGTTTCTGGCCTTGACCTCCACTGTAGCACCAGGTGAATGGGTTTCTGGCTGAGTTTTACTGACTTCAACATACAAGTAGTAGCAGGTATTGCAGCTGAAAGAGAGTTTTCTGGATGATTCTGGACGCTGTCTGGAAACTGGGAGTGCTGCCTGAATGCTGGCAGTCACTGTTGATATCATCAAGTTTCGTTAGGGCTTGTTTTGTTACTTTTCTCTTTCACAATGAGGCAATATGTTTTAAGTATTAAATGTGCTTTGGTGTAATTACCTTGTGATTATATCAAATACTAGAGCATTAATATGATTCCCACTGGTTGTTTTGTTCAGATGTAGTTTACTTGAAAGCCAGCTTTTAAGAAGTGTGAAGAGCATTCTTTGCAATGTTGTTGGCTGAAATAAAGCAACTGTGTAAAGACTGCATCTTCTTGGATAACAAATCTTTACAATATTTGACAGGTGTAATCACTGCATTTTAAAATACATATAAATGAGATTTAGACCAAGCTGTGCAGTGCTAGAAATATACTAATTGTAGGTAATTTTCAGCAGCTGAATTGAAGTAATTTTTGGGTTATATTGAGCCCCATATCTTTCTGTGGAATAGGTTGCAGGTACTGATTTTATCAAGGAAGCCTCCCAGGGAGATGGTGCTGATGCATTCTTTTCCATTTCACAACATTGCCAGCTTATTCTATGGGATTTTTGCTTCCCTCCTAGGGAAGGTGATTCCTTGCTTAACGGGGATATAATGGGGAGGCTCTTTGCAAGTTTGCTTAGAAATTGCTTTCTCTGTGCTGAGCTAAGACTTGTAGCCCAGTCGTTATATAAATACTGTATTGACTCTATTAAAGAGTCTCATGTAGCACATTTGTTTATGGTTTAATGAAAACAATCTTTCTCTGTGTTTTCAGGGAGTCCTTGAGATGACAGCAATGGCAGAATTCAACAGCATCCATTCAGTGACTGAAATGCCAGAAGGAGACAATCCGAAAAGTGGTTTCCATCATGGAATGTTCTTGGAACCCCAAGAGAAGAAGAAGAGCATGAAGGCTCTGGTGGTTAAGCAAGCAAAGAAAACTTGCAGCTGCACTCCAGCCAAAGTTAAAGACTTTGTTTTAAGTTTCTTTCCTGTCTTGCAGTGGCTTCCTAAATACAAACTGAGAGAGTACCTACTGGGAGACATAATGTCTGGTGTGATTGTGGGGGTCTTACTAGTCCCACAGTCAATTGCTTATTCTCTCTTGGCTGGGCAGGAGCCTATATATGGCCTTTATACATCCTTTTTTGCTGGCATTATTTATTTCATATTTGGAACTTCCCGCCACATCTCAGTTGGCATCTTCGGTGTGATTTGCCTGATGGTGGGACAAGTGGTGGATCGTGAGATACAGAGAGCAGGCTATGATGCAGAGCCAGCTGCACTCAGTGGCCTCACAGTTACAGCAGCATATGCAAACACCACCAGTTCTCCTGTGAATCGGACATCACAGGAGCTGCTCTGTGATAAAAGCTGCTATGCAATTACAGTAGGAGCCACTATGACCTTCATAGCTGGAGTTTATCAGGTAAGAGGAGGTGGACAAACAGGTATTCTGTGGAAATAGTTGTAATTCTTTAGGTCATTGCCACATGAGCAGACTGCTGGACTTGCATGTTTCCTTAATCTGCATCCCAGGGGAGTGGACGCAAGGAGCAATGGAGATCTACAGTTACTGTTGTGCAAGAAACTCCTGTGTCCTCTCCTTTTTTAGTAGTATTTTGTGCTTGCATTGCTACTTTGTTGGGGACTGTAAGGACCTGCACATAACTGTGTGCTGCTTTCACCTAGTAACTCACTACCTTCCTCACTGTGACTTGAAGCTATTTTTTTTCCTCTGGCTTATAGCATAAACCTCCATTTCATTGGGCCTGAATGCGGTGTGTCAGCTTCTCATTCTGGACTCCAGTTATTTGCCTTTTATCAAAAAATAATCTGGACAGTAAAAGATTTTCCTGGACAGTAAGAGATTTCTCCAATTGATTTTTATTTGTCTTTGTGTCTGTAAAGCTTTGCTCTATGTCTGTTCAAAGCAAAACAATACCGAATATACAGTGTGAAAAGGATACTATTGAGATGATAAAATATGTTTGAAATTGAACTTTTAATTATTACCTTATTAAAATACGTTATTCAACAATATTTTACCATTCTGTCTCTACTTAGTCCTAGAATTCACTGCATTTGTTCTTATGGTGCCCTCCAGGGTGATAGCTCATCAAACTGTACATAGGTGGGAAATCGAACATACATGTGACACTTGTTTTGGACACAGTCTGGGACTCTTTCTTGTGCTGCGTGTTAGCACTGAGTAATTCTGACAATATTCTGGGTCTCCTGGGGTGCAGTGGATTTTGTGTTTCATCACTGTAGGATGGATACAGTTTTGGAGTTGTGCATTGTGTGTAATATTCTTTGCAAGTACAAGTACAATTAAGTTGCCGTATATGAAGGAGTCGGATTACTTTACCCAAGTGTTAGGCATATTCTATCTGCTGTCCTTTCAACTAGCATTAATAAAAATTAATGACAAGGCACTTAAAATTTGTAAACCTTGGATCTTTGCAGAGTTCACAAAGTTCAGAAGAACTTGAGAGACAAATGGCAAAGGTAGTGGGAATTTCAAATGCTTCCCACCCCAGGCTTGCTTTCTTGCCTGCTAGGGTAACAAGAAGTTACAGCCAAACTGATGAGCAAACAATAAACACAGGTTCAGGGTATGAAGACCCCCCCCCAAAAGCCTGCTCTGTGTTAGGAATGCATTTCATTGAGGAGCAGCTGAATGCTGGAGGCTGTTTTCTTCATGCTTAGACCATGCCTTGTGCTCCAGGGCCCCACAGTGATGACATGTCCAAGATCTGCATCTTAATCTGTTGTGTGTGGTTGATCCCTTCCAGGTGGCCATGGGTTTCTTTCAAGTGGGCTTTGTCTCAGTGTACCTCTCCGATTCATTGCTGAGTGGATTTGTCACGGGTGCCTCCTTCACCATCCTGACTTCACAAGCCAAGTATCTCCTGGGTCTAAACATACCAAGGACCAGTGGCATTGGCTCCCTCATAACCACATGGATAAACATCTTCAGAAACATACACAAGACCAACGTCTGTGATCTCATCACAAGCATCTTGTGCTTTCTTGTACTTATCCCAACCAAAGAGCTTAATGATCATTTTAAATCCAAGCTCAAGGCTCCAATACCAGTTGAGCTAGTCGTGATTGTGGCAGCTACTCTGGCATCTCACTTTGGGAACCTGAGAGAGACTTATGGCTCAAGCGTTGCAGGACGCATCCCAACTGGGTTTCTGCCACCCCGTCCTCCAGACTGGAACCTGATTCCTAATGTGGCTTTGGATGCTATCCCCTTAGCTATTATTGGCTTTGCCATCACTGTCTCCCTCTCGGAGATGTTTGCCAAGAAGCATGGTTACTCTGTGAAGGCCAACCAGGAAATGTATGCCATTGGCTTCTGCAACATCGTTCCCTCTTTCTTCCATTGTTTTATAACAAGTGCAGCTCTTGCGAAGACTCTTGTTAAAGAGTCCACAGGCTGTAGGACACAAATGTCTGGCATGGTGACTAGTTTGGTAATCCTATTAGTCCTCCTTGTGATTGCACCTTTGTTTTACTCCCTTCAGAAATGTGTCCTTGCTGTCATAACCATTGTAAACCTCAGAGGAGCCCTGCGGAAGTTCAGGGACCTGCCAAAGATGTGGCGTTTGAGCAGAGTGGATACAGTGATCTGGGTAGTTACTATGGCAGCCTCAGCACTCATCAGTACTGAGATTGGTCTTTTGGTTGGTGTTTGCTTCTCTATGCTCTGTGTCATTTTCCGAACTCAGAGGCCTGAGGCACCACTGCTTGGTTGGGTGGCGGAGTCTGAGACATATGAATCCCTGTCTGCTTACAAGAATTTGCAAACCAAGCCAGGAATTGTGGTGTTCCGTTTCGAAGCACCCCTCTACTATATCAACAAAGAGTGCTTTAAATCCATCTTGTACAAGCAAACTGGGGTCAACCCAGTCTGGGTGAAAGCAGCAAAGAAAAAGGCAGCAAAGAGAATGCTTAGAGAGAAAGAGGTAGATTCTGGTGGCAACCAGACCAGCATCTCCATGGATTTTGTCTCTGAACCTCTGGGATTTCACACAATAGTGATTGACTGTTGTGCAATACAGTTTCTGGACACGGCAGGAATACGCACGCTCAAAGAGGTCTGCAAGGACTACAGGGAGATAGAAGTCCAGGTGCTTCTGGCCCAGTGCAACCCTTCAGTGAGGAGTTCCCTGATCCGAGGAGAGTTCTTTAAAGAGGGGGAAGACCACCTTCTCTTCCACAGTGTGCACCAGGCTGTGGACTTTGCACTGGGTGCACAGCAGCACAGTGGGACTGGTGTTTGTAAGAACTAGCTGGGGAAAGGCAGCAAGTTGGAACAAAGCTTGGGGAAATAATGGTGGAGGGTCTGTATATCTGTGCAATATATATGCACCCAGATAAAATGAAGCAGAGTGGTTATTAACACACTGATTACTTTGCAGTCTGTTTTGATGCTTTAAATTTGCCTCCTGGGTATAGTGATTCATTAGGTGGTATTGAATGAAGGCAATTCTTAACTTGATTATGGTCAATCTGTGAATCTTAAAGAGTTTTCATATGGTTATTCATCTCATTTTTCTTCTCTCTAGAACTTACCATGTCTTGGTTCCCCTCTAAGTTTTCATCATAAGCCTTGTAAGTCTTCATTGCAACCCTTTGTATGGATGGGATTTTGAAGTAGTCTGGGTACCTTGTCCAACTGAACAATGAGAGGCAACTCAGTTCTTGTCACTCATTCTGGCATTGCTTTTCCACATCACCACACCCTTATATTTTCTAAGGAATGACTGATGAGGACTGTTTGCTCTAGTCTGTGCTGTTGAGTGATTGATGGGTGATTTTGTAACGTCTTGAATTTGAGACAGATGGATAAATAAAATCCAAATGTGCATGAAGAACATTCTTAATGAACAGCTCCTAACAACCTGTCACCTCCAGAGGCTTTGCCAGTGTCTCCTGGGAGCCTAGTATGGCCAGGCAGCAAGCCATGGTTGTCTCATTTTTACACAGGCCTTTACAGGCCATGAAAGCTTGCCCCTTCAGCTTCAACTTTTTAATGTTTTTTTATTCAGAGGTGACTGTTTAGAAACGTTTCATGCCTATGGTCAGGCATTTGTTTTCCTAACATTTAAAAGCTCTTAAAATTGTGGGCATTACATACTGAAAATGCTTAATTCTTGAGTTTCAATCGGAAACAGTCCCTTTTAGCCAGATTTATATGCCAGGCAGACAGGATCACAGACACCAGAACAAAAAGGGCCAAATAGATATCCAACATCTGTCTAGTTTTGTCAGTGTTGAACAGATTTCATGTGTGAATGCAGGTTTTGTTGACTGTAGCTCCTTTACTCATACTCTGTCATGGGCTTTGTGTAATGGGGATGGACAGGCAAAGAACAACAGCCGTTAGAAAAGGAGACAGAGAAATTCTGTGCTGAATGTTAGTGTAAATAAACCTTTGTACTTTGGCTTTAATTATGCAGAACAGTGAACAGTACCTGTTCTTTGTGTGAAAACACAAAAGCTGGTTAGGAAGAGGTTCTCTTTCCTTACACCAATAATACAACTATGAAAGCAGAATTCAGAGATTAACAGCTTAAACTGAGTTCCATCTGTATGCAGTACACTGTACATCCTTGGAAGATGGTGGTTTCTCCCAGGTTCTTCACAGCTTTTTGAAAGGGAAAAGTTGTTCTATAAATACAGTATTCTCATCCTTAATCGTTCAAGAATGAGTCAGGAGTCAAAAAGGAATAAAATGCAATCTGAATTATGAACTGTTTTCTAAATAGAAATACATTTTGAGTTTAGTTTTTTTCCCAGGATAGGAGCAGTAACTGTTCTTCCTATGGAAACTGGTATGTCTGTGACATACCACTTCACACTAGGAGCTGGGACCTCAATGATTAGATAGCAGAAAGATGAGTCCCAGGATCTGGCAGCCTCTGTATGTTAACTGAAGTTAGTACAGTTTTGTAGGACATCACAGCAGCATATAGCAATATGGGGGGAGGTGGTAGGTGGCTGTTGCATACATTGAAAAGGAGTACATAACTGAGATCTGTGCTTCATGTGTTTGAGACCTGGCAGTGTTAAGGAAACAAATCTCCCAAGTATCAGAGAGAAAATGCTAAAGATTCTGCAGTATTCAAAGCACACAAATGCTGTTCTTTCTCAGCCTTAAGGCGTGTGTATACAAGGAGGAGAATCCCAAACAGCTACTGCTGAACTTTCTTCTTTTCTACAGTAATCTCCTTCGTGAGCTTTCTTATTCTGGGCTAAGGATCCTTTATGTGGTTTGGATAATTGTAATGACTGAATTGGTATTACCAGAGTGGATTAGCCTAAGCCATATAAAAGCAGTGAGCGGAGTTAACGCCTATGTACGGAGTGAGCGCAGGTTAGGAATTATGTTTTAATTCCTCACCATACCTGTTTTCCATTGCGTTCCCATTCAGAGCTGCTGGGTTGGTGTTGAGAGAGCTGGCACAACCATGGCAGCTCCTGCAGCCGGGTGCTGGCTTGGGAAGGGTTTGGCACCATGGGTACTTTGGCAGTGTGCTGGCTGGTGGCAGGGGAGCTGTGTAGACCTGTGCATGTGCATTCATCCGGTGGCAGTGCTGTGTGCTGGGGAGTCCCTTTTCGGCACAGTTTGTTCACATTACCAGAAAGCATCTCCAGAGCTGTGAACAAAAGCCTCTGCCAGCTTTAGACACTGGTGTTTTTCAACTGACATTTTTCAAGAGAGCACAACGGTGCCAGAGAGCAGAACGTCTTCTCAAAGCCCTGATGAAAAATTGCAGCATGGCCAACAGTAAGCAGTGTGTGCTGTTATTGCATGTTCCTGCCTACCTGCAGCTACGTGTTCTCTCCCCTTTGCCCCACAGGCATGGGCAGCTGAGAGGGAGAGGACGAATGAGCAGCTGGCCAAGAGACTTCCTTTGAGGCAGGTCAGTCATTGGTGAGATAGAAGTAAAATAGAAATGGCTCTGGCTGATCCTTTACACTCACAATTCCTCTCTCCTGTACTCTTTCCATGCTGCCCAGGTGGGGATATTTTGATCTGTGACTATGCACAGATTTGTGTAGTCAGATTCTGAGACAGGGAAAACCAGTAATTATTTATTAAAAGATGTTCTTTTAAATCCGTTTCTACTTGTGTCAGGAAGGGAGGAATAGCAGTGTTGCTTCCAAGAAGTACACACTTCGCACAGCTAGCAGGATGCATATTTGTAGCTCCTGGGTATCTGTTTGCATAAAAGCACAATAAAATAGCCATAAATTGATTTTCAAATAATTAATTTAGATTACAGCTGAAAGATAATACTGGAGTGATTTATTGTATTTGGCTTCAGTGCTGTTTCTGCAGACATGACTGGCAACATAGCCTCCAAATTCCATTTTAAGCGAAACACAAGAAGCCATGCTAAAATGCAACAGCAAAAGCAGCCAGCCCACCAAAAGCACAACTTTTTAATGTTCTTAAAGATAACACCCAAAGGTCATAGTATTAATAAGACTATATTAATACATAGAGCCCTGCTTAAAATGGAACAGAAATACATGGCATTTTCCAGAGAGTTTTGTATAATAGAGTCCTTTGGAATTAACTGAAGATTAGAGTTTACCATGGCTGGAATTTCTTAGAACAGTGGGGTTTCAGCCATTTTTCTTTGAGGCATAGAATAAATTCTAACAGAGACATGAAATGGATTTAATTCTACTGGCAAGAAGCACATTTTGCTTAAATATGTTTATGGACCCTTTAGAAATAATCCAATTTCAAGTTTAAGAATTAGGGACCACTGATTAAAAATAGTTGCCCTCAAGAATTTGTTTTATAAAAGAATTTCGTGTATCTACACGTACATACAATACATACAGCTATATATGTGTATGTGGATACACACACTTTTGCTGCTGTACTATGGATGCAGCAGCTACATATATCCAGTTATGCTTTTGTGGTATTTGGGTTCTGCGTTCTGCTGTTTTGAATGAACAGTGGAAAGCATGTACCACATTTTATAAGGGGAAATCTGCTGCACCCACTGCCTTCTACACCTTCGCTTATCCCTGCCTCTCAGTGTAATTTGTCATCTATAGGAAGAGGGAATCTTGGAAGGGTTGTGTTTGGGTTTATGCATCTGTTAGCAATAGCAATGTTTATCCCAGGTGCAACCTTCAGAACCCAAGGCCAGAGTGGGAGATGGTGTAAATCAGTTAATCTCCATTCCCAAACATTCTAATCAGCAATTATCAGTCTAAATGAAGAATTAAGAGATCATTAGCACATTCATTAATGACAACAACACAGCATCATGGAAATTAACACTCACAGTCCCAGCTATGCTAAAGACTCCTGAGAAATGTCTTTATCAGTCTCCTGCTAAATGTCAGGCTCTATTTTTACGGTTATTGCTGCTATAGATAGTGGGCTCAGTTCCTCCTCATGTGGCAGTTGCACTAATAAATGTTTCACTTGTGTGAATGTTTTGACATGGAAACAATTTTCAGTCCAATTCGTAAACCAGGAAGAGGTACTGCAGTGGGACACGTGGTGCTTAGTTTTGGATTTATAATGACATCGCCAACCATAGTCTTGTGTGATTTAGTGATCCTGATTTCCTTGTAAGCCATTGAAGCTCCATCTGCACCTCCCAAATTCAGTGTGAGACCCACCTCCACCCTCTTGACACTTGTGTTTTGCTGTAAGACTTTGCATATAATCAACAGTAAATAGAAGAATCATTGCCTTTGTGCATATTGCTATTACATGTGACCTGACAGATCTTTTGGTGAGGATAAAGCTCCTGAAGAGAGTGTGTAAACCAACCCCAAACCCCTACCAGTTCCTCGCATGCTGGGGGTGGGAGAAAGGGGGCTGTGGGCAGCTGGCAGGGCAGTACCACTGTTTCTTTCCCTCCATGAACACACTGGAGCTTCAGTCTGGTGTGGGCTATGTGAGGGTTTGTGTAGCTGAAGGAGTAACAGTGCTGCCCAGAAAGGATGGATAAGCTGGAGGTGTCTTTATTATGGGGCTCCTGTGTTATGCAGCTATGTGCCTTTGTAATGAGTGTAATAATAACACAGGACCTAGTTCCTGCTCAGTGCTGCTGCATGAGTCACTGTCCTGAACTACATATATAAGGTATATATGTCTCCACTTCCTTCTGAAAGAGATACAAAAGTCTGTTGCTGATGCATCTGAAGTGCAGAGGTGAGGTGCTGGGGACAGGAAAGCGTCCTGCCCACCACACCATGGTTTTGAGCTGTTCAATACCCAGCTGCCTCCCACAGCCTTGTGCTGAGGTCGGCTGTGAACTCTGCATGTGGCAGGTCCTAGATCTAGGTCTTACTTGGTGGGGTCCGTTCTTTCTGTGGCCAGACCTCTCTTGAGAAGACCAGCAACCCTGCACATCTCCTTGGGTGCAGTTTCCTGCACCTTTTCACTCAAGGATTGTGCCAGCTCGCTGTTCCCCACCACACTTTGGCTACTTGCTGTCATCTCCAGCACTGCTGGTGCAGATTGCATTTAAGCAACCAGAAGACATGTCACCCACAGGTCTCCACTCTGAAAACAGCACATGAACACCCATGCTGGCCCTCCAGCTGGGCACACTGGTCAGCACTGACCTTAACTTCCCAGCACAGTGAGGAGCATGGCTAGGCTGTAGGGAGCTGCAGGTCTGGAGTACGATCATAGAAACTGGAACATGAGAAAACCTTTGAGCTGAGGGTGAAACTCTTCAGGCAAATTGTTTTAGGGCATTAACTTATGTTGCTTGTTTTTTCACATGCTTCGGAAAGGTGATTACATGATTGATGTGATTTATGTTTTGTTACTAATATGGTTAAGCTAATGAAGCTGTGACAAACACCTACTGCTCATGCCATACAAGGTGCTTTGTATCTGTGTAGCTTATTTTGCTTTGCTGAGTCTTGATATAGGATACAGTTGTGAGACTTCCATATTGATGTAACTGTCCACACTAGAACAGCTTTGCAATTCTGCTTTGCTGGCATAGAAAAAAGGAACAATATCATTAGTGCAGACTTTGCACTGCGAATGACCTTGTTAAGTCCCAAGTATGACTTGCACTTGGTTATCATGTTTATAAGCCTTTGTAGCATCAGCTGCTCATATGAAAAACTACCTGATCTTTTATTTTCAGTCAGAATCTACCTGAAGGAGAGACAATTCTGAGTGTTGCTTTTTCTTCTGAAATCATTACAATGCTAAAAGTGAGGTCTCTGGTTAGGTAAAATGGCAAATATTTTTATTTTTATATATATATATATATATATATATAAATTCATAGTATGATTGTACCTTTCTGTTTTATTTTCTATAGATTGTATATGCTAAGGCATATTGCTGTTCTCTAGGGGGCAAATACAGAAAGTATTTCAGCATTGGATGGAGAATCATATCTTCACTGAGTAAATTTACTGCCAAAATTATGTGTTTGAATTCCATCTCTCTCCAGCTTTGAAAGCACTTGGCTCTTAGTCTGGCTTCCAGATGATCTCAGGACTCCACAGGAAGATAAGAAGTGAAACATTTTGCTGGACTCGGGTGCAAGTTTTTTGTGTCTAATTTTTAACTTAAGGAAGTACATTTTCTGTGTCACTGAAATGCAGCTGAAACATGGTGAAGGAGAGGTAAAGCCTCATGTTTTCTGGGGAGCACGTGATGCTTTGAGTTCATCAGCCTCTTGCGTCCCTGACCATCATCTCTGGTGTCTTGCTGTGCTCCAGGGTATGATTTTTTAAATTATTTTAAATTCAGAGTAATTTTAGACATTTGTGACATAATGTTTTTCAGAATAAACCAATGGCAGATTTTGCCTGGAGTAGCTTTTTCAGGCTCGAGAACCATTTTAACCAAACAGGACCTGCGGAATGGAGTAGATCACACTGGTCGGCTGACCTCTAACCAGTTTACAAAACAGTTTATTTGAATAATGTGGAAAAGTTGTGTAGTATGTATAAAGCATCACTCCTTGCCGTGACTAATTTGTGCAGTAAAACCAAGGTATAATGTTTCCCCCAGTGCAGTGATGGAATCAAGGGTCCTGGGGGAGCACCATCCCATGCTGGATGGCTGACACAGGCCTTGCCTTGTGCCCAGCATGGGGGAGATGTGCTGCCATCAGCTCCTTGTTGGGTGCTGTGCTCACCGACCAAACGATTGTGATCTAAATTGTATTTTGTCCATCATCATCCGTTGTCCTGCAATCAGCTATGGTGTCAGAATCAGCATGTTGTTGACTCTCCTTTACACTGTTGTATCTCTTTATCAGTTGTCATTTTTAAACACTAATGTATGTGCCTTACTGTCGTCGTAGATTTGTTAGCAAAAATTTTCTATCAAATATGGTAAAATCTTTGGGATTTCTTGATCACCATTAAAAGATTGTATTTGGTTTCTCTGTTGTCAGACGTGTGCTTACTAGCTTAGGAGATGCTGCAGCTATACATTTTAAAAAGGGAAGCCACACACATTTGAGCATCGAGTCCCCATTTCTCCTGACAGTTGTGCTCAATCCCTGCTGTAAGGTTCAGTGTATACACAGCTGTGTGCACTGCTCTCCTGCACTCTATGGTACACACATAATATGCATGCATGGAAGTTTCCTGGCAATGTAAACGGGGCATTGACTGATGTTATGTGGCCAGTAGCAGGATTTCACCTTGTTCCCATTTCAGTTCTCTGTACAACCAGCCTGCAGTTTGTCTCATAGCAAGTGATAAGCAATGTGATGGCAGTGATGTGCTGTTTGCCGGTGAGCAGCACCCTCCTGTGGGCCAGGTCTGTATTCTGAAGATGCAAGAAATGATGGATTTGTTCAGGTTTGGTGCTACTTGCCCTTTACAATATGTGTACTTACAGCACATGGTATTACAGATTTAGCCTTCCAAAATAGCTGCAATGTATTTCAGTGTTGACATAACAGGTGATATGACTTGGTCAGGTCATGGCTGGTCAGAGTCAGGGAAGAAATTAGAGCAGTTCTGGGTTGGCAGTTACTGTGACCATTGTCATGTCCTTGAGTTCTGCATAAGATTTTCTTAATCCAGCACTGCTCAGCTCTTACCTGAGGATGCCTTTTACCTTAGGAAACCTCAGAGCACATGCTGCTATTTTTGACTTGGTGCCAAAAGAGCTGTAGGAGCACTCAAATTATGGGGAATGCCAGCAGGAGCTTTCTGCTCTCTTGAAATGCATGGAACATCGTTGCCTTCAGCTGAGTGATTAATGCTGATACAGAGCTAAGGGGCAATCAGCAGCACCTTTACCTGTGCTCCTCAGGGCTCTGTCTTATGTGTGAACAACTGATTCTCACCATATTCCTGCACTAGAGGAGACATCCCCAGCCCTGTCTCCTGGGTCACAGGCTGCTGGAAGCTGCCTGGGAAAGGTGCACCAGGGGTCCAGTCCGTGCAGAGCCCTCCCAGTGCCTGCTAAGCAGCAGGCTAGAAACTTCCTGAGCACTTAGACCTTTGTCACAGCTTTTGCAGCACTTTTTCATGAAGCTTCCTTCCCTTTCCCTTTACTCTCACCTTTTGACTCCCACCAGACCCTGTGGCAGCCTGCCTCATTGCTTTGTTGTGTGGAAAAGCTGCTCCTTCAGTTTGAAATCGAATAGGAGATCCAGTGTTGATGTATAGCAGGTAGTTGGAGATGTGCTGCAGTTTCTGGGCTTCTTACCCATCTGCAGGACCATTTTTCTGTCCTGTGGCACAGCTGTGCCCTCCGTAGCTTGCCTGCCCACTGTCTTGGTGTGCGATGAGCTGGTGCATGCTGCTGGGAGAGCTCAGGAGCCAGTGCAGCTCTGCCTGATACAGAGCCTGCCATGCTGCAGTGGGGCAACTTGTGGTGCCTGCAGGTAGGGAGACCCTGTGAGCCAGCCAACAGCTATAGGGGGAAGCAGCATCCTGCTGACACAGCCTTGGTGCCATGGAGGGCTCATGAGCAGCACACATGGGTCGAGCCTGCACTGATGCCAAATGACCTGGGCTGAATGCCAATTCAGTATGAAATAGAGATGTGCTTCCCTGATGACTTTATTCCACTGCATTCATCTGTAATCTATTTAATCTGCTTACAGAGCCATTATAGCATTTTCAATTACCAACTTGATCATTTGGAAAAGGGTCATAAACACTGGACATTCGTCATGCAGGGAAAAACATGAAAACAGCATGAAGTTCCACAGAAGTTAGCAGGGAATTGTTTTTACCTTCCTTATATAAACTGGGAGTGCTTCTCAATGCTTTTTGTGATGTGCTTGGAAATGCTTCTTTTCTCCATTTTCTAGGAGTGGGCATCAGTGCTGGAGGAAAGGCTTGTAGCAGGATGTTAGCAGAGTGGACCACTGTGTTCTGTCCTCAGTGGCTGCACAGTTGATGGGTGTGTGACCTCTGCAGCCACATCCTTTTAGATCTGCTACCTCTGCACTTAATTGCTTTGCAAGGACATATGGTCCATCTCACAGCTTTCAAGATAGACTAAAAAACATGCCTTGCATGTCTGTCTGCACGGTGAATTGCTGGGAGCAAGCTATAGCTTAAATAGATGCTCTTTATCATGTTTATTTGTAGGTTCCCTGGTCCCTCTCAAACTCTGGAGTGCTGTGACTGCATTACCATGTGCAGTCACAGGGTGAGTGACATTTTTGACCTCACAGTGTTTATGTCTGGAGAGAGCCTCATCTTCACATTGCATGCTCTGCTGTGATCCCTGCGTGTTAGCATAAACTTCCCTGCAAAGTAGTGGGAGGCTGCAAAAGCTGTTTTATTTTCTGGGATGACCTGGTGTATTGCTTCCATGTTCTCTGTTGTTTTCTCTTGCAGAAACGTGAATAGCTGCTTTCCAAGAAACCATCGGAGAGGTTCTGTTCAGATTTTTTGCCTTCGGATGCTTTTGTGGCATTTTGCCGTATCTCAGCAGTGGGACCAATTCTGGGCTTCTCTCCTTTTCCTTCTATTTCCCTTAAAAAAGAAGATGATGATTTGCAAATGTATACGTATTGACAATTCATTTCCAAGTGGAACTGATCCAGCAGCCATCTGAAAAGACTGTCAAGTCGCATATCTGAAGGGAAAGACAAGCATCTCTCTTAGATACCTGGCTCCATTACCTGGCTCGTTTGCCTTGTTTTTCTATAAAGCTGCATGCGATAAGTAACTGTGGAGCAGAGGGATGCAGCCGTGGACTAAGCCAGGCTGGCCCATTTATGGAGCCAAGACATGTGTGCTGCTATTTTAACAGGCTTCTAGAAGCCTAACAGTTGTCAGTGTATTTACAAGCCTTAAGGCAAATCAAAAATCCTTGTGCAATGCAGTTATCTGTTCTAAAGGAAATGAGAGATGCCAGCTCATCCTGCTAAACAGAAGTGATGCATTGACACAGCGGTGAGACTTGAATTTGCAACACTTACCCACCGCAAAGTGCCTGGGTAACAATCTCAGACACAGTTTCATGGATTTTTTTCTACTTTAGGATAGAAAACACAACAACCCACTACTGCATTTTCCTTGTGCCTGGAACTTGGACTTGTGCTGCTCTCTTGCTAGCTGGCTGCAGTGGCTGTTGCATAGATGGATGCGACATTCCTCACATAGTATGCCGTAAGTGCAAACTTGGGATTTCATGCTTTCTGCTTGTCTTGAAAACAGAGGGTGCCATGTTACTGGCAGGCAACATCCTGCCTACAGTTGCATGGTTCAAGTTGATACCATCTGCCCAACCCAGCCTTGCCCAGAATGGAGCTAAACAGTTAAGTAAGTTTATAGTGGCAATAAAGAACGACTCTTCAAGATGAGTTTGAAAACAAACAGTTTCAGCAGTTAGCTGTAGTGACCTTGCATTTGGAGCAGTGCAGCCTCGCTGGGCTCAAGGTCACATGAAGTTCTGTTGTGGGTTTCTTTTTTAAGCTGTTTTATGTATATTTTCTAGATCAAAGGTGAAGTGTTTGCGATTCCTGCCCTTGCCTCACCTCATGCAGTAGAAGTGGTTTCAGAGATGTACATAGTGCTCAGTGTCACTGTGTTCTTACACCCCTTCTGCCAGGATGGAGAACATAAAATGACCTCAGAGCCACAGCCTGAACTTCCATCACAGAGAGGACTGTGCAGAAGCTGCCCTAGCATAAAGGTTTGCTGTTTTGAAGAGTTCAGTGCTGAGAACCTCCGCAGAACAGAAATGCACGGGGAAGCCAGCTGGGACAAGGAGCTTGAGAATGTAATTGCAGTGAAAGTATGGAATGTTTTAAAGTTGAATGTATAAAAGCAACTGGGAATCTGTGCACAAGAAAGGGAGTTAAAAAATGTAGGGGGGGAAGGCAGGGGAGGCACAGAGGCAGAAGAAATGGAAGAGAACTGCTCCCCAAAACCTATGCCCTGGGGAGGTGGAAGAGCGTGGCTGTATGGCTCATCAAGAAATACCAGGTGGTAAAGCAAATCATAGTAAGCAAGAGTTCCAGATTATGTGAGTGAAGGTGGCAGTAGGAAAGAAAAGCAGCAGCAGGCTGTGAAGGCAGGGGGGAGGTTATAGGTAGCCTGGATCCTGTCAGAGATGGAAAAAGTGCTTTGTCCCATTTTCATGGTGGACAGGTCAGAGATCCAGAACTGGAAATTAATGCTTCCTAAATAAGATCAAAACCCAGAGATGAACTGTGCTCAGATGTGTGTCATCCCAGCAAACAAGCTGACTTAAAAGGCCAGCCTGGCCACCTCTTTTGTGACTGAGTCACCGGTTCTTCAGTGACTGAACTTCAGGATGAAGGAACCATACAGAAAATAGAAATTTGGGTCATTTGTCAAGGAAGAAGGTGGAAAATCTAAATCAGTAAGTAGAGACTACATCAGGCAGGCCAAGACACAGAATGAGCAATGTCTAGGAAGGATTATAAAGCATATGAAGGGATCATCTTTTAAAGACAGGAGGAACAACAAGGTTAAGGAAAGATACAGTCCATTACTGAAAGAAGGGGAAGGGGAGCTATCAACAGATGTACCTGAAAATATATGAGCTGTGGGGGACTGGCAGAGAATAAAGAAGGCATATAAATAGCTAAATACATTGAGCAGCTGTCTCCTCTACCATGTGCTCTCATTTCTTCCTGCTGCCAGAGAGCACTGATGTTTCTTATTTATTTACTTCTAATTACTGAGATACAGGCTTCCACTGATGAGATAAATGTAGCTCAGGATGCTCATCTTCCTCTTCTCTTCCCTCAGGGTGTCTCCTCAGCATCTAAATCAAAGCCTTATGAAAATGGCCCACAGCCATAGCTCATAGCCTCCATAGCCCTGTGGGATCTCAGCCCCCTCACCAAGCCCAGAACACAGCCAGTGCCAGGAGCAGAGGAAGGGGCCGAGCAGCCTCACTGGCAGGTGTTATTCCTGCTCCATAGAGCAATGTCACAGCCAGCAAAATCCTGGGGACTAGGCTGATGGAAAAGAGATGGAAAGCAGAAGGTGAAGAATGAGTTGAGTGGGAGTGTGTGCTGAGAGCTCTGGTGTAGACTGTTTGCAGGGATCACAAGGGCAGAGCAGTTACAGCAGGTATTTATGAGGCTGTTGTTTCAATGCAGGATGATGGAATGTTACCTTTTTTCCCTGGCCGCTAATGCAGTCACCCTTAACTACAAAAGAAGTGCAAACCTGCACTTTACCGAATGGTGCTTACTTCTGCAAAGTAAAATCCTTAATTTGTGCTAAAAAAAATCCACTCTGGTCTCTAAAAGGCATGTGCAGGAGGTGGATTGTGCAGGTTTGACACATCATGAGTTCTTTATCTACCTAGAAGTACCCTGTGTCATCATCACCTCTTGGCTGCCTGTGCAGTGCTGTGTCTGACAAAGCCGCTGTGAAGCTGGTGCTGCTGGAAGTGGTCAGGCAGTGATACAGGCACACAGGGAGCAGGCAGGCAGCTGCTGGGAAAGAAAAGTCATTCTGGAACAAGTTCTGCTTTTTGATTGGTTTTTGGGACAAACGCTTGTCCAGAATAGATGAAAACCTGAGTGGGGAAGCCCGACAGGACTTGGGCAACCATGCGCTCTCAGTTCAGGGAGGGGCAGAGCAATAACACAGGCATGAAGATTTCTTTGCATTGCTCTCTTTGTTTAACAAACACATCTCCAGATACCAGCAATACTGTTATCTGGCAGGAGCACTTCTCCAAACCCCTTCAATTATTCTTAATGGCCAGAACAAGTTTCCATCAAAAATACTCTCCCAGAACAACGTTTGTTTTCAAAATACAGCTCTGTTTGGCTGGCTGCACCGTCGTCATAGGCTGGAGCGAGATAAAAGAGCCAAATCACTTGGCTGAGTAACTCAGATCTTTTCCCAAGTGAAGTGGCACAGGGTCCAGAAGGAAGGCGAAGGCAACTGGTTTGCAGTCGTTATCCTCATGCTTTATCTGTTCAGTGTGTGCTGCGAGGTGAGGAGACAGGTCTGTCCGCAGGGGAGAAGCTCCAGGTAGTGAGGAAACACCCTGTGTGTCTCTGTGCAGCCAGAGGTAAGAGATTTGGGATGGGACTAGTGATGTGAAACAAACCCGTAGGGCAGGAGTATGGGCTTTCTCATCATCCCAGTTCTGTGTCCAAACTGCAGCCACTCTGGATCTCCTCTTGGGAGAACTCCTCTCTGTGTGTGTTGTTCATTTTTGACAAAAAGGTTTGTTTTGTTGTGCCTGCGTTTTGACTGGAAATCATGGAGCAGCTCTTGTGTTACTTAACCAGACTGAAGAAGTGGGATGCTTTCATTCTGCAGACAAGAGCCCCTGTGATGGGCCTGTTTGATGCAAGTCAGCAATGTACTTTAATATTTTGAGATGTTCAAGGAAAAATTATTTTGCATATTGCCTCCTTTATCCATGTGTTACATTCCCAAAGCATCACTTGGAATATCCCAACATTTTCAGAACAGGTTTTGCTTAAGTGAATGTGTCATCAGGAAATGCAGAATTCCCAATGAAGTGTGAGGTTCAGTGAAATGATATTGTCTGATTTTAGCCCATTTTGCTGGACTGTTTCAAAACAAGAGGTATGTTGGGAAGGAGCACAGGAGGCTTTACAGCTCTGTCCCTGATGTGGGCACCTGTGCCAGTGTGAATGCAGTTCAAACCATGGTCTCAGGGTTGTGGTTAATCAAGCCCATAAATGAGAACCAATAAATTAACCAGCACCATGGGAAAGTGCTTTTCTGTTTGGTTTGTCTGAGGTTATTTTCATTTATTTACCCTTGCAATCTGCATGAGCCCTGGAGCTAAGCAAAACACCTTATGTACATAACTGCAACCCTTCATGGCTGCCTGCTCTCCTGCCTTAGCTCTCCTGGTGCAATGGAGGACACATCGAGACAGAAGTCAGGACAGAGCAAAGACACCCTGTGCTCCCCAGTGCCAGAAGAGCCTCCTGCAAACTTTATACATGTCAAACTGGAGGAGTATGAGCCTGCAGACTTCAGCACCAAGGAACTCATCCTAAAGAATGCCAGAGAGGTCTGCACATGCAATCATCAAACCATCATCACCTTTTTCTGTCACCTGTTCCCAGTGCTGGACTGGCTTCCCCGTTACAATGTCAAGACCCAGTTGCTTGGGGATGTCATATCTGGGCTCCTGGTGGGGATAGTCGCCATCCCTCAGTCCATCTCCTACTCCCTCTTAGCCAACCAGGATCCCATCTACGGAATCTACACCAACTTCTTCTGCAACATCATCTATGTTGTTATGGCCACTTCGCGCCATAACTCTGTGGGCTCCTTCGGCGTCCTGTGCCTGATGATCGGGCAGTCTGTGACCCGGCACCTCCAGCTAGCAGGGTACAGTGACGACAGCACTGGCTCTTTGCTGCTGAGCAACTCCACCTCCTTCAGTAACGGGACGAGTGCCTGTGACAGGAGCTGCTACGCCATCACTGTGGCCCTTTCTTTGAGCTTTCTGGTTGGTCTGTACCAGGTACAAATACTTGCTGTTCTGCTGTTTCCTTTCTGACCTTTCCCTGCTAGGAACTTCTCTGTGCTAAAGATCTCGAAGCTCCTGTCTTGGTTCAGACTTACAAGTCATGAGAAGCCTTTCCTGATGTGGTTAGACCCGGACACCCTTGAATCAAGTGTAGTGATTTAGAAACCCACAAATGCAACTGAATGGGGGGGTGGGGGATTGTTTCCTCCCGTATGACAGGCCATGTCCTTGTATGTCCTTATGATCAGACACAGCAAGGGAGGAGGAAGAAACACTTTCCCACCACCCCAGTCTTGGAGCTGGGCCAGCTTCTGGTACAGGTTAGAGCAGCTTTGGGGCTGGCAAGAACAGCTCTCAAAGGCCCTGCCATCAGCAGGGGCTCCCTCAAAGCCCATGCTCCCTGGGGTTGTCCTGACTGCCTGAGCCTAGCTGTCATTGAACAACTTCAGGCTCTTTCACTGGGACTACTAATGTTCTGTGCATCACACCGGTTATGTGCCACTGAGTGATGTTTTGATGGGGCTGCTGCCTGGACTTTGTGTTAACTGTGTGCCCATATTGCTTGTAAGGAGACAGTGGTAGGGACCTTGTGGGCTTCTTTGTATGGCACCCTGGCCAGAGACTAGTGTTATAGGTAGGTCTCTTTAGTTTGTTGTACCCCAGATTAACTACTGAAGATGAAGTACCCTGCCTCACGCTGACTGCTCAGCAGGCAGAATGGAAGTGGAAGCAAACTGACATAAATTGACAGCCACCTCTTCCAGCCCTTCTCATTGATGCTAAAGGTATGGCTGGCTTGCTTTTCAGATCCTGCTGGGGGTTTTACAGCTGGGCTTTGTGGCTGTCTACCTATCAGAACCTCTCCTCAGTGGCTTTGTGACCGGCTCCAGCCTCACCATTATCACCTCTCAGATGAAGTATCTCCTGGGACTGAAAATCCCTCGTCATGAAGGGGTAGGGTCCTTCATCCTCACATGGGTTGACCTTTTCAGATACATCCAGAACACCAACATCTGTGACCTGGTTACCAGCCTGGTTGCTTTGGCCATCATAGTGCCTGTCAAAGAGATCAATGACCGGTATAAGGAGAAGATGAAGGCTCCGTTCCCCATAGAGCTGCTGGTGGTCATTGTCGCCACAGTAATATCTTACTACTTTAACTTTGAAGAGCGATACAAGTCTGATGTCTGTGGGGATATCCCCACTGGTTTCAGGAAACCCACTCTCCCAGATATAAACCTGTTTTCCAGCCTGGCAGTTGATGCTGTGCCCATTGCTATCATTGGCTTTGCCATGACTGTCTCCCTGGCAGAAATCTTTGGCAAAAAGTACGGCTACCCTGTCCGTGCCAACCAAGAGATGATTGCCATTGGCATGTGCAACCTCATCCCTTCTTTCTTCTACTGCTTTGCCAGCTCTGCAGCCCTGACCAAGACTTTGCTGAAGGAGTCCACGGGGACACACACCCAGGTCTCTGGCCTGGTGACCTCCCTGGTGCTGCTGCTGGTGCTGCTGTGGATTGCCCCGCTCTTCTATTCACTGCAGACCTCCATCCTGGGGGTGGTCACCATTGTCAACCTGCGGGGGGGCCTGAGCAAGTTCTGTGACATCCCCCGCATGTGGCAGCTCAGCAAGCTGGACACGGTGGTGTGGTGGACAACCATGCTGTGCTCCACGCTGGTCACCACAGAGATTGGGCTCCTCGTGGGTGTCTGCTTCGCTCTGCTCTGTGTCATCTTCCGCACGCAGAGACCCCGGGCCACGCTGCTGGGCAAGGTCAGCAGCACGGAAATCTATGAGGACCAGTCCACGTACAAGCAGCTCAGCAGCATTGCCAACATCAAAATCTTCCGCTTTGAGTCATCTCTCTACTATGCCAACAAGGACTATTTCAAGACTGTTCTCTACCAGAAAACAGGGGTAAATCCTGGCCTGCTGGCTGCTAAGCACCAAAAGGTGGAGGCCCAGGCAAATGCAGACACAGGCAACAGAAAGAGCTTTTTCAGCAGCAGGTTTGTCTGCCTGAAACAAGCCAAGAAAAGGTCTGGGAAGCCTCCAGAGGATGCGTGTCCTCCCTCCATAGACATGCACACCCTCATCCTTGACTGTGGGGCGATGCAGTTCATAGACACTGTGGGTCTCTCAGTGCTAAAGGAGACACGTCATGACTATAAGGAGGTTGGTGTTCAGGTTCTCCTGGCCAACTGCAACCCTTCCCTCCGCCACCGGCTCCGGGAGGGAGGCTGGGCTGGCGAGGCAGACAGTGGTGGGCAGCTGGCTTTCCACAGCATCCACGATGCCGTGCGGTTTGCTGAACGTTGGTACCGTGCCCAGCAGGAGGAGAGCAAGGACATGGATGCTCTCCAGGATGCTGAAGACCTGAACTTCCAGGTGTCTTTATAAAGCTGTGTGTAAGGACTGTTGCCTAATGGGGATGGGCTTGGGATGTACTTGAGAGCAGTTTCAGTCTTTGCACTGTCAGAGCATGCAAAAAAGACTTTGATGAACTGTCAGCGGCAGGCATGGGGAAGGTGTGGATTTCAGCAGACACTGCCAATTGGTGGGTAATCCGGGCGGCTCCTCAAGGGCTGTCCTGTGGGAGAAGAGCTTGGATGGGTTTCACCGCTGTCCCTGTCGGAAGGGCTGTGGGGCAGGAGGTGCCGTGGGTGCCGGGACCCGTGTCTCGGATGGGCGCTGGGGGGCATGACCGAGCCGCGCTGCTCTGCTAAAGCCGGGGCCGACCCCGAGCGCCTCCACTCCCGGGGGCAGCCGGGCTGTGCCGGTGCCCGCTGCTCCGAGCGGGTGATGCCGAAGCGCTGCCTGCGGCCCCACAGCGCACCCACCGCGCGGAGCACTCGCCGGCCAGGCTGTGCGGCAGCACCTCCGGGCTGGAGCCGTGCCCCCCTGACCGGGTGACATTCGGAGCTGGCTGTAAGGGCCCCCAGCGTGGGGACAGCCCTGTCCTGTGTTGGAGGTGCTGCCACAGAACAGGTACCGCTGCTGCAATGGCAATCACAGGAGGAAGCTTTGCAGGGCTCTGTCAGCGACCCAAGCTTTATGCCTAAAGATCCTGTTCCCCGTGGCACCCTGGTATTAACCACCATCGGGCTGGTTACTGGGAGAGGGAGGGTTGAAACGGGACACTAAGGCAAAGGAGAGAGGAGCTGTAGGCAAGGTCTGACATCCACTCCTTTGAGGAGCCCTGGTGGTGCTTCCCACTTCCTGGCATGAAAGTTAGCAGCTCCTGTGCTGTGCCTCTTGGCTGTGAAGCTCAAGGTGTGCACCCACACACAAGAATGGGGCTGCAGCCAGGAAAGCTCACAGACAGACCTGTATCTTGTTATGTGGCAGTTCCTTCTATGGGCATTTCCAGTGCCCAATGCAGAATAACTGGGGAAAGACAGGATACCAGCATCCTCTCTTGTGGTCCATTCCTTTACAAATTACATTGTGGAGAAATGAACACCCCAAGGCAACTTCGGGTGCTAGACAGCAAAGCCACTCACCTCCCCAGACATGCAGCAGCGGAGGTTATGGCCTGATGGCAGCAGGGGGAGAACCACCAGTCCCACTCGCTCCTTCACTCACTAATGTGTATTCATCTTTTGCCACCTTCATTTTCAGACTGCCCTTCTCTTCCCACACAGCCAGAGTCAATGTGGGAAACAGATTGCAGAGGCTCATTTATTTTCCAAACAACCTGCTGCATGGAGGTTGCAGCTCCTCAATGGCCACGGAACAGCAGCAACAAACTTGGCAACAGCAAAACACTTCCTTTACAAACAAAGAAAGAAGTTTCAGAGAGCTGCATGGGGTTCATTCAGCTGACATTCCTTGCCTTCTGTGTTGTGAGCTGCAGGGGAGGAGAGGCGCCTTCCCCTGCTGTTGTTAATAGACAGGGGTTTACATGACTTCCATGGCTGGAATTACAGGTTTCTTCCCCAGAAAAGGTACCTGAGATCCCCATCTGCTCTTCATACACTGTAAATCAGGAAAACCTGTGCTGCAGCTTGCAATGGCCACGGTTCTCCCAGCTGGATGCTGTGCAGCACTGGTGGCAGTGGGGCAGGGCAGTCTTGCACCTCCAGCACCACTGGGTGTGCAGCCGGAGGGAGCCTTGAAACAGGCACAGGAACCTCTCCTTCTGCTGGGCTGGGATGGGCAGTATCCTGCTGGCTCTGCTTCTGCATCCTGAGGGTGAGTCCCTGATGTGAGCTGAGAAGCATCCGCAGTATTGCCAAGTACGAGAATAGCTTTTATTTCATTAGCTCCACCTGTAAAAACACCTTCTATTCTGCATATTTAGTATGTGAATATTCTCCTGGCCTCATCCTGGAAATGCAGCACCAAAGATATCCCACTGAAGGGAACTCTAGCTTTGGCTAGAGCCACTCAGGAGCCCAGGAACAGAAATCTGTTGTAAATAAAGTGTACAGAAACAAAATCCTACTGGCTCTGCTCAGGAAAATGTGTTCTTGTGGTCAAAAGTCTGTTTCAAGTGGATTAAAGAGCATAGTATGCCCAGCTGCTTGCAGGTCCTTGGAGCAAGGTTGTGAGTGTCAGATGAAGGTAAATTGGCTGAAGAGGCCAGTATGAGCCTTGCAGGGCTGGATGGACAGGGGTGCACGCTGCATCTCTCTCCAAGGGTCCTTGCAGCCCATCACAGACACTCCCCAGGGAGGCTGCATCAGGGTTTTGCATCAGCCATGGAGCAATGAGTAATGGGGCAGTTTTGTGCCTGAACAGCAAGTCAGTAGAGGAGAAAAGTCTTGTTAGCTGCAAGGATTATGACCTTCCTTCCCCTTTGGAATAGCATTGCCGTAATTTTCTTTATAAGACTGTTTATGGAGAAAATCAAATTGGTTTAGTTAGACTTTAGATGCATTTATGATCTTGGTGGGGTCATAAAGCCACAGGAGGATATAAAACCATTGCTGATAATTCCTGGGTATAGCCTGGTGCAACACAGTGCAGAGGAGATTACTGTCAGTGGCAGTTAACACAGCCCTCTGCAATGGGACGTGGCTGTTTGTGAGCGGTTTCTGCTCAGAGCTGAGAAAGCTGTGAAAATGCCAGAGATACGAGGCAGTTTTAATGGGATGCCTTCCCTGGGAAAGGAGAACTGAGGTGGCAGCCTCCTTCCCTCTCCTCTCCAGCCCAGAGGAGTTGGGACCTCGCTGGCAGACCTTGCCCAGATCTGCCAGCTCCAGCATCGCCTTCCAGCCCTCAAGTCAAACATCCGGGTGACCCATCATTCCTCAGATTTCCAAGGTAGATCAGGGATAATTGCTGTTCTTATTTCAGCACCTATAGCAAGGCCTTGGGTTGTAAATGACATGGAGGAGAGATGGAGAATGACAAATGACATAGTCCAAGATCAGCTTGTAATCAGTGTCATGGGAGATCGGGCTGGCCTCCCACCACCTGCATCTCCGGGTGGGTGCAGATGTGAGCATGAAGGGACCACAACAGTGGGCTAATTCCTGGTGGTGAAAGGGCTCCTGCTGAGGTCACAGTATCACAGTATGTTAGAGATTGGAAGGGACCTCAAAAGCTCATCCAGTCCAATCCCCCTGCCAGAGCAGGAACACCTAGATAAGGTTACACAGGAACGTGTCCAGGCGGGTTTTGAATGTCTCCAGAGAAGGAGACTCCACAACCTCCCTGGGGAGCCTGTTCCAGTGTTCTGTCACCCTCACTGAGAAGAAGTTTCTTCTCAAGTTTAAGTGGAACCTCTTGTGTTCCAGCTTGTACCCATTGCCCCTTGTCCTATCATTGTTTGCCACTGAGAAGAGCCTGGCTCCATCCTCGTGACACTCCCCCTTTATATATTTATATACACTAATAAGGTCACCCCTCAATCTCCTCTTCTCCAAACTATAGAGACCCAGCTCCCTCAGTCTTTCCTCATAAGGGAGATGCTCCACTCCCTTAATCATCTTAGTTGCCCTAAGGGTCACAGGACCCTTGTCTGCCCCAGCACCCAACTGCAGCAGCCTTAGTGCCTGTGTTTGCCAAAAGGCCTCAACCTCTCAGCTGGGTGCTGACCCTCAACATCTCCCACCCAAGAAGACCTGCCCTTGCATCCCAGTGCTGACCTGCTGCACCCCAGAGCGTCCTGTGTGCTTCACCAGGGCCCAAGGAAATGCCATGCAGCTGAAAGCAAATGTTATCCCTCCTGGTAGGCAGCTCATTGGTTCTCCTTCTCTCTCTGCCCCCTGCCTCGCTGTGAATCTATAAATACTTTGGGAGTGTGATAAATGGAGGATTGCTGCTAAGGCTTTGTCAGCCGCCGGTGGAGCTGACTGTGCAACTGTTAATTATGCTGCAGCAGCAGCCAGACAGGTTTAAATCCTTTTGATGCTCTCAAGTGCTCCTTCTGGGGAAGCTTAAGGAATAAAGGTTCTCGTGGCTCATGGGTGTTTGCTTCCCCTTCTAGAAAGTGTACGCGACACTGATTGCTGCATGGAGGGCTGTTCTCCTCGCTCCCGTTGCCTGTTCTTGGGTATACATACACTGTTTAAAGGCAGGAAGTTGCTTCTGCAGATCTGTAGCTGCAGTCAAGCAGTCAGCATGCTGCCCACATGTGCGGAGAGTTTACCCATGAAAGCTTTCCCTAGCAGACAAAACTGGGTTGGGAAAGCAGTGAGCTGCAGGGGATAGCACTGGGTTTTCTGGGGAGAAATAACAAAGTTTAGGGCCAGTTACTACCTCACTGGAGATAGCCTGGGGAAGAAGGAATCAGGGGACAGTGGCTCAGGGTACCATAATCCAGCTGTGTCAGGCTTGCCAGGCTGAGGTCTTGTGGGTTTCTGTGTCTCCATCTACAAGCTTCCTGCTCTGGGTTGCTTTCTGGGCTTGCTGTGCCCTATTTCTACTTGTGTTTCTCAGAAGAAAGGCTTCGCTCTGACACATGCATGGCAGCTTCCAAATTCTTCCACTGAGTGAGAAGCATGCACCCCAGAGCTTAAATCCTGGAGTTAAAACATTCAAAGTCATGGGACAGCTACATCAGTAACTCCTCCTAAGCCACCGGGTAAATACCTCTCCCTTTTTCTGCCTCTCACCCTCACCCTTTAGTACAAAGTGCCCTGGGTGCTGTGTGGGTGCCCTGGGCAGAGGTATCATCGTGGATGACAGATGATGCCCTGGTGATATGACAGAAAAATCCAGTCAGTGTCTCCAAAGATGTTTGCAGAGCCAAGCCTGGAGCTGCAGGGCTTAGTCCTAGCCACCCTGCCTGAGCTGTGTGCTCAACGGAAAGACAGGGAGAGGTAGGAGGACAGGTCTGTTCTGGCTGTTGCACTAGCTGTGCCAAGTTTTCATTGTATGCTCCAAGGTCATTACTCACCTGAGCTCCACACGTCTGCTTAAGAAATGCTTTCCACACTTACTTGTGTAGAAGATTGTTCTAGGGCACTGTAAAACACTGTTGAGTCCCCGTCACAAACAATAGGCTGCTTTCACAGACACTTCCTCTTGGACTTCTCCTTCCAACTTGATGACTGCATGTGATTTCTCCCGTGCCATCAAATAAGTGATGTTGCTGGCAAAGGGCGCTGCCTTCACCTTGCTGGCAGTGTGCACAGGGGTAGGTACCCAGGCACAGCAGCCTGTGTGCACACTCCCACCCAGCCTTGTAGGTGTTCCTTCAGGCACAAAGCTGCCGCAGCGCTTCCCAGCCTCAGGTCTCCAAGTCAGGATCCCTGTGCAGAGCTTTCAGCACAATTGGGCTGTGAGGATTTGCCAGCAGAGCCTGGGGCCTTACCCTGCTGCAGTCACATGGAAAGGAGCCTCCAGCTCCCATGTCTCCAAGTCCCCCTGTGATGTTTGGACCCTGCTATGAAGGCTACAGAGTGATGCAGCCTGAAGGTGAGAGCCTGGGCAGGGGGTGGGACCACATCGCACTGTTCCCTGCACCATCCCTTTCACATCACTGAGCATCCAAACCCTTTTTGCCTTGAGTTTCTTTCCTCCCTCCACCTGCTGTGAAATGGAAGTGGTAAGAGCCACATCCCTGAAGGCTGCTACCAGGGCCCAAAGCAGACAGCTTTGCAAGTGATGATTTTGGTAGCATTTCCAGATTTTCAATAGTCAGAAACAGTGAGGGGAAGAGTCACAGCAGCTTTTGAGATGCAAAATCCCCCATATTACTTGACTGGGAATGTGCTCAATTTGTTTCCTCCACAGAATCTAAGAGACGGGGCTTTTCTCAGTGATATTCCTGTGAAAACGTGATATTTTCATCTATTTTTTAATGGCACAGCTCAGTAGCCTCATTTTAATCAGGCACCCAGCACCCCTGGGAGTGCTGGAGAAGGAGAGGTGACATCTGTCCATCAGCAGCCACTGGCCTCCCAGCAATCCTCTTCTCCCCTGCTTACAAACAGCTCTCCTCCAAAGGAGAGCGGATTTACATTAACAGCATGAGTGGCACCTCTTATCTCGGCAGCACCTGGAGCGATAAGGGCAGTTGCATGAGTGATAAACATTAATGTCTAAAGAAGCAGAGCAGCTTCCTGGAGAGGCTGGGAAATGCTTCCTCATGTCTACCAAGGGAGTAAATGATGCAAAGAGCCTGCCCACTCTCCCACAGGCATAATAACAACCTTTGCATCACACACCCCATGCTAGATGCTTTTCTGAGCACTTAACAACCATTTGCCTGGACAAATTAGCAGCTGACACACACGGGTGATTGTACCTACACACTGGGAGATGGCCACTTTGGAGACACAGACGTGGGGAGAATCATCTCGCCTTGCACAGGTTATGCAGAAGTAATTGGGAATGGTAGGCTCTGATGAAGAGAGGACAGAAGCTTCATTCCACCTGAGACAGGTGTCAAGAAGCAGAGAGGATAACTCATGGCTGGACATGCCCTGGGGATCCCAGCTCATTGAACAGCCCAGGCTGGCTGCAGGTAGGGAGAGGGTGTTCTTGTACATCCCTGAAAGGGATAGCTGTGCCATCACCCCACCACCTGCACTGCTCTACCAGCAACAGTCACATCCTGCTTCCCATAGGACCAATGCCTCAGCTGTCACAGAGGGAAAGAAAAGGAGGAAGGACAGAGATTAAATGAGCTGAATAGGAAAATTACTCTGGGCAAAATTCCTGCAGTGTCCAGGATACCCACAAGTAGCAGGAGCTGCTGATCTCTGTAGTCTCCTACAAAATAACAAGGTCAGCGCAGTGATGGGGAAATCTTTCTGCAATTGCTGGGTTGCTATTGAGCTAGCTCTGCTCTTTGCCCTCGCTTCATCCTCCCCTGGAGAGGAGTTGATGGAGTCAATTTGCTCCACTTTGTGTCTGGTCATTGTCTGCCTTTTAATAAGAAAGTTCACCAGGGAGGGAGGTAGATCAAAGCACCTCTGTTTTACCACTGCAAGCCCAGGGCCTGTGCTCTCCAGCCAAGGCTCTTTAGTGACAAATAATGATGCCCTCAGTTATTGCCAGGAAAGGACCAGCCCGGCTTGCCTGGTGGTGCTCCCTCCTAGTTACAAGTGTGTGCTTTGTTTCTTGATGTGCCATTAGTCACTTGGAGGCTCACATCCCACTAGCTCTTAGGACACCTCACTGGGGAAAGCAGGTTGGTAGTTCCTCCAGCTCTCTGCAAAACCACAGTCCTGCGAGGACTGCGGAGATAAGCACAGGGCCTGCTCAGTGTGCCTGCAGGCTGAGCTGCGGACACTGCTCTGCTGAAGACCTCAGCTGGGGATACTACAGTGCTACCCGAAGTGCCAGGGCTGGGCTAGCCTCAGGAGGCATCTTGGTTTGGCAACAAGCATCTCCCCAGGGGCCAGGTAGATAAGGATAATGCATTGTGCAGGCCTACCCATCCCTGCCATCCACCAGCATGGACAAGCTTGGCACAGCAGATCCCTTATGGGACCTTTTCTGAGGCCAGGGAGCAGCAACAGTGGTACCAGTGCATGTGTGGCGTCCACACCACTTCCATATGTACCTTGTCCTGGCTTGAAGGGTCAAACATTGCTGTTTCCCTGGGGATTGTTTAGCAAAGGGGAAAGTAGTGTTGGGTGATATGGGTTTGTCATGACAGCCATGGGCCAGCTCCCAGTTAGATACAGTGTATTAGGGGAAGAGTAATCCACCAGGGAAACCATCGATGTACCAGGAGGTTGAAAAGATAAAGGTAAGGGAGAATGAGGGAAAAGCAGAGCTCTGCTGGTTTGGCACAGCCAGAGCAGCTCCTCAGGAGGGGACACAGACTGCCTGGCCACCCCAGACACCCCAGCTGTTAGCTAATGAACTGGCTCAGCTGCTGGTGGTGATGACTGGGACATCCAATATGGGAACCTGTGCCAGAGGGACTGAGGATAACAAGGAGGGGGCAGGACGGGAGGGGTTGGACATGGGCTTGGACACAGATATGGACCACAGCCTGGGGATTGCTGAGCTCCACACTGCTTTCTTGGCAGCCACCATCTGGCTGGCTAATTACTGCATGTTATAATGTCCTTTGGGAGTTTGAAGTACTTGTTAGTACTAATAATGACAGTAATAGTCAATATTAAAAATAATTAAGGCAGCAAACTGGAGAGATTGGATGCTCAACTGCACTGATAACAAAAGGGACTCCCCCTGAATCCTTCCCTTGTTACAAGGTGATGGTCATGGTCCCCCTGTATGGGACAAAGATTCGGGGTGATGTCAGAAGCACCAAACTTCTGTCTCTGATTTGTTGTTACTGTCTCCTCCTTTGCAGGCTGTTTGCCTCATTTCCAATGAAAAGACAGCAGAGGAGAGTGAGTGATGGCCCAAATAATCTACAGCTGCTATCAAATCAAGCTCTGGGGGTAAGTGATGTTCCACAGAGGGTTTAAAGCAGAGGCTAGTGCTGTGAGCTCAGGTAAATGGTGGTGTTACTGGGGTTTTACATGTAGCAATAATACAGGTCTTGGAAACTCAGACAGAAACTTGTACTTGGTGCTGCTATCACTGAAAAGAAGGTGAGGATAAGAAACTGTTTTTCAGTGCTCCCCTAACAGGCTGTAATCCCAGTTTCTAGCAGCCATCAGGTGCGTGGTGCAAGGGCGGTGAGGGCAGGATCTCAGCTCAGGCAGGCAGGGGGTTGCACAGTGTTATCCTGATGGGCAAAACAGGAGCAGAAAGTGCTTTGTGTTCCTCTGTTTGACAGCAAAGAAAACCTCTGAGGTTCTCAGCCTTCAGGAAAGCAAGAGAAGCCTCAAAGCAGGATGAAGGTGGTACAGATAAATGGCAAGGCAGGAGGAGGAACTGAAATGAGCTTCATTTGCTTGGTCTAAAAAATCCTGAGATGGAGGGAATGAACTTAGAGCATGAACATGAAGCTGGGCTTAATGAGCTGAGCAGCTCCAGCCGTCTGCTGCCCTTGGCATCTATGGCAAAGTCCTGCAGTTCTGTCAGGTCTTGCAGTTTTGGGGCTCTTTGGTGGGTGCCTGAACAGCCCCTGCGGATCACTAAAGCCTAAGAAGATATCTGTTGAATTGCTAAAAATGGTATATAGCCCATGGAATTAATGGGAGGAAGTACAGAAAAGGTGCTTTGTTAAGCTTAAAGGCTGAAAAAAGAGAGTTCAACAAGAAGAAAATCTTTCCTTTATTTTCTTTCTTTAGTGACCGAGAGATGTGTTCCAGCAGGTAGAATTGTGGTTCCTTTAGAAACTAGAGACAAGATTAACTGTACTGTAAAATACATGCCAAGCCATACAGCAACCGAGACTCACAAAGCAGGTAATGCGTAACAGGTACTAAAGTTCAGTAAGCAAAGGAGAAATAACAGTGGTTAACGCTGACATCTGAAAGTTGTTTCCGTTTCAAACCATCCTTGCCAGGGAATCTGTTCGTCACTTTTCTGTGCTCTGCTATTTTGTTTTTTCGAGAAAAGAATATTTAATTGAATCTTTGTGCTTCCAACAAATGCTGGCCCTCTCTTCCAGGTCCATATTTTCTCTTAAGCAGCAGTTGGCAGTGCTAAGTGTCCCCTGCTGCTGCAGCTCTGTGCTGTGCTGTGCTGTGCTGCTTGGGGGGTGAGCTGGTGGGAGAGCACTTGGGTACAGAAGGTTTACTGTGGGTGGTTAAGTCTGGAGAGTGTTTATTTTGAGACAAGGTAGTTTTCCAAGTTAAAAAGGTGAAGGTTGCTCTGGTTGTGATGATGCACAGCGAGAGCCGGGCTCACCAGCCACTGGATGGCGATGTTGTTTCACACGGATAAAAGCTGCCGTGGCTGCCCTATGCAGTGCCCTGGGCACCAAGATTCCGGAGCCTCTGTGGTTCCTCTCGCCATGGTATGAAGGTAGTCAGGGCCTGGGTGACACGGCACATTGAGAGATCTGCCCTCACAGCGCAGAGGGCTTGGGAAGAGCCTGGTCAGTGCCATGCTCAGCTGTCCCCATGGCTGCCACTGCTGAGGCCAGGCTGGTGTCAGCTCCCTGCCTGCAAAGGATGAGCACAGCTCAGGGCACTGCATGGGGGAACCCTAATATGGGCAGCCAAGGGTGACAGAGGGGGCAACCTTCCTGGGTGCCCTTTGCATCCAAAAGGAGCTAACACAGCTGCTGAAGTATCCCCAGTGTGGTGCATTTAAGAAGAGGGAGGATTTAAGATCTGGGAGGCAAGCAGCCATGGCTTACATCAATCAGAGATTAAGGACTGATGACACATGAGGTTCTGCAGACACAATGGAACCCTCTGTGTTTGCTTAGGTCCTGTGCTTACCTCCTATCACCATCATTCCACCCTCACCTGTCCAGGACACTGTGCCTCGAAAGCAATGGGGTCATTCCTTGCCATGGCCCACTCGTGGGAAGGGAACATTCTGCCCTTTGCTGTGGGGAAGAAGTGCTCGGGCAGTGTGGAGGGAAGAGCCCAGCGGATGGGAAGGTGCCTGCGGCAGACGATGCTGAGCAGATAACATTTAAAGGCAAGGAGACGTGCTCCTCCTGGTGCATGGCAGAGGCTGGTGGCACGCAGGTCCCACCTTCACGTGCAGGCTGGGAAATGAGCATTTGCAAAGGAAATGTTAGACTGGAGGGGTTTGCTTTGCTGGTGGGGTGAGCTCCTGAGAGTGCTTCCTTGAAGTGTGTAGGCAGGTCTGCTACTAATACTGCTTTTCAACTACCTTCATAAGCAGGTCCTGCCTCTCCAACTTGACACGTACCTGTTCATAGGCTCTTGGAGCTATCAAGATCTCCACGTCCTGTGCAAGCACCTCTGAAGCAAACAGGAACATTGGTGTGTATTAAAGCTTTGGCTTCATGAGAAGCCCCTGGGAGTGCTGTGTGAGCAGGGAAGGACTGCTCCCTGCTTCTTTCCACATGAGGAATCGAAAGCACCAGCTGAAACAGGCCTGTGGTATACTCTAGTTACAGAAAAGGGCACCTCACACAAGGGGTAATTTGTGCAGGAATCCTTGCTGCCAGATGCCAAAAGTGATGCGGCAGGAGGAATTAATGGAAGAGCAATTAGTTGAGGCAGCGGTGTCCTCTCTGACTGAGGGACTTGTTAACCACAGATTAGTGGAGGCTTGGAGAGTCTTAGCCTTTTCCTCAGGAAGCCGCTATAGAGAGAAAGCACAGCATTAGATGGACCGCTTTTATTCCCCAAGCACTATAATAACTGGGCTGAATACTGCTGGGATGCTTTATGCTGCTGTGGCTAGACCACAGGCAGTCATTTATTTCTTTTCTTCTATTTTTCTGTCTTCCCCCCTAGAAACTGTGTTCACACAAATAACTCTCTGTGTGTGTGGCCTCGAAGAGGAAGTGCAGCAGCTGCTGCTAGTGAAAGGTGATTTCCTCTTGTGGAGCCCTTGCACCCCTGTGCCCAGCCATACCCATCACTTAGCTTAAAATCCCTGCTGTGTTTGGGAAGCTGTATAATGAATTTCCCTTCCAGGCTGTGCAAATGTTGTGATGCATTTTGCCAAAACCAGCACGGAAACGGCAGACAGGAGAAGTGTAAATGGCTGAAGGTTAACCCAGGACAGCAAGGCACTACAGGTGAGTTAAATTTGGGTAGGGAATTGCTGGCATGTGTTTCTTGGAAGTGAAAACACTTCACTGTCTTCTGCACTTATTAGCCCCCAGGCTAGTTCTGCAAATCCCGGCTGTGGCTTTTGGTCAAGGAGGACTCCATGTGTCCATCTTGTCAAAGCCCAGCCCAAACATGTGAGTATCACAGCTCTGAGATGAGCAGCTCCAGTTTAACTCTGGTTCTGCTGAGCTGCTGCAGATCTCCCAGTGTCATCCTGGAAACGTAAGAGCAATGACTACAGTGTTTGAAAGCACCATGCTGGGAAGCACCAGCCACCGTGGCTGCTGGGGTGCAGGAGGGTGGCCTCAGGCGCAAGCACTTACAGCGCTTGTGTGGCCATGGCTGTAACTGTATGCTAAACACATATGCGATTGCCAGAAAGGGTTTGCAAACCACCTGCAGGCTCCAGTCTGTTCTCTCTTTGAACAGCTCCGAGTAAAGAAGTCTCCTTTTTTTGTCTGGGTTTTGGGTTAGTTCTTTGAAGATTTTTTGATGGGGAATTAGTGGTCAGGAATAATGTTGCTTCACCAGGCAAGCCAAGGACTTGGGAAATAGGTTTCCCATTTCCAGGAGGAGCCTCAATTTTCCTTACTGTGTAGCCAAGGGCACCCCAGAGCAGTGCTGGGCTGCTGGCCTTGGCTCCAGCAGGCTCCCACCTCAGCGCTGACCTGAGCTGACCTGGCTGTGTTTCCAAGGCTGTGCAGTGCAGCATCCCCATGTGATGCTCCAAACACCTCTGCCACTGTTCACTTGGTGGGGAAAGCCACAGTGGCAGCCCAAGGTTTCTGGCACAGAGCAGAGGGTGAATGCTCTGGAGAGGCCAAGGAGGGGGAAGGAAAAAGTCACTCCCTGGGTTTATTTTTGTTTGTATTTTAATTTTAGGGCTGCTCACAAGTGGAATCGTCTACGTGCTGCCATGGAAACAGCAGCCTTGGTCCCCAGCACAGCTTGCAGCCATCTGCAAGGGAACAATTGTTGGTCTGTTTGTTTAAAACCATCCGGGGTGGTGCTGGGCGGTGTGTGGCTGGCCAAGGGGAAGCCACATGGGACATGACAGGACGTGCTTGTCACACTGAATAGCACAGCAGACAAATGCCCACAGATGGGATCGACAGTGTCCTTCTGGAGAAACGCTGATGTGCAAAACTGGTGTGAATCACGTTGGTTGAATGAGTGTTTGAGACCCAGGAACTGCAGCACATGGCATGTGATGCTCACCGGCATTCACCCTCATGGGTTTCGGTTCATCCGGACCCCGGCAAGCAGAGGTCTGTGCATGCAAAGTCTGTGAGAGGCCACAGTGTGGGAGCACTGAGCAGGCTGCTGCTTCCGAAGAGCTGGATTTCGACTGCTCCGGTGGGAAACTGAGCCAGGTTAACTTTCTGCGCGCGAACAGTTTGACTGAACACACCAGGCTTCTTGGCGTGAAGCCGGTGCAGAGGGCTGAGCATCAGCCAGCATTTGCCAGAACGGCTGGGAAACCAGCTCCTGACTTTACTCAGCCATGTGTTGGGCTTCAAATCTGTGAAGAAGAGATTCTGCTTGCAGGCAGTTGCCCTACCTGAAGAGATGTGCATGGGAAAGAAATGCACATGAGAAATGGCAGAGAATCTGATCCACGCTAACCTCCTCCCTGCTTGGGTGGGACTATTAAGCCCAGGTTTGGTCTGCTGGATCATGACCTAAATGTGCTCTGATGTCGAGTGTGTATTACTCTGATCTCATGCTGATGCCATGTGGAAAGCCAGAAGGAGGTGTCCTTCCTCTGCTAGGAATGGGTGAGGGTACAACCTGCTAGCTGCCAGCTCTGCCCTTGACCCTTCAGAGGTCCTTCAGCACCATCAGTACCCAGCTGTGGGCTGGCTTGGGTTTCCTCACCCTTGTCATCTGCCTGGAAGACCAGCACAGGCAGTGTGGAGGCTCAGGACTTCGCCTGGAGTCCATGGAGGAGCTGATTTCTCCCCATTGGCAGGAAGGGAAGCTCAAACAGTCTCCAAACACGTGTGCATGGAACCTGCTGAGCTGAGCTCGCACACCCACAGTCCTTCCCGCACCCAGCAGCCAAGCACAGCCCTGTCTGACACAGCCAGCAGTCATTCCAGCTAGCTCATGAAACCCCTTCATTTCTGCTTGTGCCCATCTCTGAGACCACTGCACTTTACATGTGTGAATATTCAGGGGGAAAGATGTTGAAGCTTTCAGGCTCAGATGCCAGAGAAGAAGCTCTCTGTGGGAATTCGCAGTGGTTGACCTGACTGCAACTATCTCATTCAGCCAGGCAAAGAGGAGAGAAATTACTTGGTTCTCATCTACTTCATCTTCAGAAATATTTAATGAAAGAGGGAAAATAAATTTAGGGGGGGCTTGTGGGCATCCTGAGAGTAGAAGAAGAGGTAAAATTAATCCTATCAATAATCCATGATGAATGATTCACTCAGCTTTTTTATTCACAGTTGCATATAGTTATCCTCATTCACGTGGAGATGCAGTACTCATGGAAATATATACAGACTCATATGCATATGAATTATGAAGCCCAGTGAGGGCTCCTACGCAGCCAGGGTTACAGGCTGGTATAGCTCACATGTGGTAGAGGACTGCATGGCCCTTGCTGCTGCTGGGCTCTTTGGAGCTTCAGGAGGTTTCCACACAGATATTGGCTCCTCTCTGCTTGCATTTTTCACATTGAGCTCACCCATGTGCTCTAGCAAGGATGAGGACGGGAAAAGGTCTGTGTTGCCCTCCCTCCTTTCAGTGGGGGTTTATAGGAAGAGGAGCTCCATGCTGCCTGGTGGGAGAGGTGATGCCAATGTCCCCAGCACTCATCTGCCTCCACGAAGCTCCCCTGCACTGAGACTTCCGTATCTTCTGCCAGTTTATACCAGAATCTGGTCTCTGGTTTCAGCAGTGTGGTCCCAACCTCCAGCAGCAGCAGCCAGTATCTCCTGCAGTGCAGAAAGACAAGCATCCAACCATGCCTTGGTGCTGGGAAGCTGGGTCCTCTCAGCACTGGGGGGAATGGCAGGAGGCAGATGTATTGCTGCTTTCTAGGCAGGTCTTTTTCTTTCAAAATGTCTTTGCAGGAGAAAAGAACCAAGTGGAAAATTTTCATTAGAAACAGGATTTTTTAAAACCCAGTTAAAACAAAATGATGAAAAGCTCTGTCACACATCTGTGGCTGCAGAGAGAGGATTGAGACGGACCAGGACTCCCAGGAGGAACTGAAGGAAATGCCAGATGATGCTGAAGAGCAGAGGACCCAGCCCCATCAGACACTGCTCTGACTTGGGAGTCGCTGTGCAAGTGCTTGAGAGGAAAACCCAAAATGTACCCAGAGTCAGCAGCAATGCCAGCCTGCGAGGATGTGGGAACAGACGTGGCCTTATTGGAGGGAGGAGAAGAGGCAGCCTAGGAGAAACAGCCCCAGCACAGGCGCTGCCTTGCATCCTCCCCAGCTGAGCTACAGCAGCATTCAGCACTTCTGCAGGTACCTACATCTGCTGAGGATGCTTTATTATCAACTGTCATTTCACCTCTCCCATCCTTAAATCCCTTAAATAAAAGGATTGTTTAGTAGCTTCCAGCTCATGGACTGTAAATGTGAAATCTGTCTCAGAAAAACATTATTTCCCATAAAAAAGACAAACTTGTGCCCTGATACCTGACTTACTTAATATTCCATCTGGGTATTGTGGAATACTGTGACTGGAACCAGGAACGAGGTAGGTGGTCTTACTTATCTCTGGCCATTTCAAAGTTGGGGCTGGGCAGTTGATGAAGAAAGAGGTTTTTGTAAGACAGCTCAAACCATCCATTGCAGAGGGGCTGCCCTGTCCTGCAGGGAGCTGCCTGGCCCTGCTCCATCTCCAGCTGGTGATGCCATGGTTGCCCCTTGCTTTGGTTTCTTCTTTGGTCCTGAGATAATAAATACCTCAAAGGGTTGCTCTGAGAGGGCATTTCAATGCTTACAAAAGAATTTCATGCCCTTCAGATGAAACTTGCTTTAACGATGTCTGTATTATGAACAGTGGTAGTTACACTGTTCAAAGTGAATGCAAATGTTCTGCTTTAAACCTTAAAGTCAGATCTACCTTAAACTGGATATTAGGTTAATATATCCAGGTAGTGTGATAAAGTGTGGGGAATAAATCAAAGTGCTCTGCAGTCAGGTTTCATACCCTAGATGCAGGAGTTTATTTAAAGGCCTCTCTCCATTTAGGTATCAGTAACATGACCTTCTTTTTGATCACTTCAGTTTTGAGCTTCTTCCCACCTTAGGTCAGGCTGAGCACTTTTATCATGAGTCTGGGAACCTGGATACATGGCAGTGCTGCAGCATCCGGAGCGCTCCCTGGACTAAATATGAGTAATGTAAAGAATAGAGGGGGTGACAACAGTGAGACATAATTCTAAGTAAGGACAAGCACCAAATCAGCTGATGCTGTGAATCAGATGTAGACCAGAATTTTCCTCCTGCCTCACCTCTTCACAATGGTTTCCCTCACAAAATGGACTGGGATCCAAACTGCTGAGAAATCTGAAGTGTTCAGCTTCTGCGTCTGGGCTTTTCAGCTTAGGTCTGGGGACCAGGAGATGCTGTGGCCCAAGCAGAGTGGTGACTTCAGAGGTAACCTCTCAGCAAGAGCAGGGAAGTTTGCACTTAAAAGCAAATAGAAAGAGAGAAGTTCTATAAAATCAAATAGAAAGAAAGAAGAGTGGGAGGGCTGCATCTAATGGCAGGTAGAACCATAAGAAACTTCATTTATTCAGGCTCCCTTTTCAATAAAACCCATCCCACGCAACTGGGCAAAGGAGACCGTGCTGTGTTCAAAGGCAACACACAGTGCACACCAAAAAGCTTCTCTGTTAACTTGATTTTATCTCCGTCTTATATCTATGCCTGAAAGCACAGCCAGTGATCTAAAGCAGTGGCTGAGTTACTACTGCAGGAGTGAAGGCAGTGAATTCCGCTGCATAGTGACTGTGATTCAGTCCTGATGAATCACTCAGCCGCTTTTCTTCTCAACTAGATCTTTGGCTTTATTATTGTTACAGAAGGAAAAAAGGAGGAGGGAGAAAAATGAAGAAAAAGCCACTGCCTTATCTCCCTCTCTAATCCTTTCCAATTTTTCTTTTTAATAATTTAATTACATTTTTATAGGCATCCCATTCAGGCTGAATAAACTCTTTGATAATCCTAGCAAGGAACTGGCATTAAAAGGAGATGTGATGCACTATGACCAAAACTGATGACGGCATTGGGGTTCAGCATGATTTGGTTTTGGGCTTCAGGAGCACGCAGCGATGGAAGGGTCTTGCACTCCACTTCCTCCATGCACCAAAATCCATTCCCCACTTCATGGTTTGCATCTGATAAAGCAAAGAGAGTGCTGGGATCTTGAGACCAGGACTGCTGTGGAGCAGTGGCAGATAACCCCGCTCTGCTCAGGCACTGCTCATACTTGGGTATCCTTATGCAAGCTTCTGCAAGTGACTCCCTTGGCTCTCCAGCCAGCCAGCCCACTCTGCAGACAGCAAAACACTTTGCTGTTGTAGCTATAGGTTTTGCCTGGATGGGGAAATGATTCCATATACACCTGGAACTCATGGTGTAGATTATTACTGTCCTTAACATATTGGTGTTATGGGCTCATCAAAGGGTTGGGGTGAGGAACTGGGTGGCAGAGAGAGCACAACCAGGACCCAATGCTCCTGCATGGATGGGTGCAGGCTGGGGTTGCTACCCAAACCTCCAGCAGGACACAACCAATATTCCTGCCAGCATAGCATGATTTGTCCCTGGCTCTAACCACTGGTGCTGGGGAGAGGGGGCCCAAAATGTGAACCTTCCTCTGACTGCAGGTTTTGAATCTGCCTTCTAGCATCCCAGCTCTCTTAAGTGCACAGCAAGGCTGGTGCAGGAGTTTGCTGCAGTGCCAGCAGGAAAGGGAGTGCTCGGTTGCCTTTTCCATCACTCTCCAGCTTGATGGAGCATCTTTAATCCTGACCCATGGTGCTGCTGGTCTTCAATCCAGCGAAGCATTTAAACACCTGCTAGGAAAGTGCATAAACACATCCAGCTTCAGTTTGCCTGCTCACATGCAAACTGCAGCATGTGCTTGGCTTAGGGCTCTGCACCCTGATGCTTTCCTTGTTATCAGGCTCATTAGTAGCTGCTGTTGGAGATTCTGACTCAATGGCAAAGGCAAGTGAGCAGCTTGCTCTGAGGACTCAGATCTTGTGAGAACTGAGCTACCACTGCTCGTTCTATGAACAGACATCAAAACACGTATATATAAACTCAGTATTGAAGCTGGAGGCTACAATAATGACTTGACCAGAAAGCTCATGTTACTACTACAGAGAAGGAAATGAAGCAACACAAACTGTTTCAGGAACACTTTAGCTTCCAGTTTTAATTGACCCATCTCAGATCCACCCATGCCTGCCCCATCTGCTTTGTCCTCGGTGGTGCAAGCCTGAGAAAATCCAGACAAGGTGTTTCTTTGTGAATTTGATCTCAGTTTTACTTTTCTTAAGGTTATTCTTTATCTGTCTTTCAGTTACTATAGTGATGAAGAAATGCATGCAACAAACGCGAGGCCTGGCAGCCTGGGAAGGCGTGTGTGCTGCAGCCGCTGAAAATACCGCCAAAGTTTTGAGAAATCACTTGAAAGATCTTTGCCAAAAATGTTCAGATCTTTAAAAAAAACGGGTCCTATCAGACAAGTTGATGATAAATACACAGCAAGCAACACATACTGCAATTTGTTGGGTGCTCTGGTTTCTCCTGCATCTACACACCACCAAAGATGCCCCTTTTCCAGGTGCAGGGACCTAAATTGTGATTAAAGGACATGAAATGGATTGCTACAAACCAAATTACTTCTCGGAACTCGTGTGTACTCTGGATCACCCCATTCTAGTGCAGTTCTGTTCTGAGAAAGGACAGCCTGAAGAGCTCACAGTCATGTCCCTCAGGGTGACCCACAGAGCCTGAGAGGTGTTGGATAAGTGTAGCAGTCTGCCTTGAATCCACACCATGAATCTCACTCAACAGACTCTGCCTCTTGGAGTCAGACCTTCTGTAGTCAGAAGTTACATCAAGATGGAGAGGCCAAATCAAAGGGCCTTGCCCTGTGGATTTAGATTCAATTTGTGAATTACCCATATCAGCAGTGGCTGTGGGGCACATTTCTTAGGGCACAGCATGGAGTACACACAGCTACACAGTGGGAATGGAGGACACTTGTCTCGTGCAGACCTGGAAGCACTGGTGATGGAGGGGATCTAGCTAGACCCTGGAGCTGCAGCTGAAGCTGAGTGCTGGTAGTTGGAGAAGTATCTCCTCATTTCCAAAAGCAGGTCTGGTCTGAAATCCTGCCTGCAGCTATCAGTACCGAGCCTCATGCTTACATGAGATTTTTACAGGCACTTTCCAAAGGAGAAGCTGCAGGAAGGCACTGTAGCTTGAAACCTCCAAAACACAAAGGGTGAGCACACCTGGAGATGCTGCTTTTATGCTTGGTCCAGTAGTAGGTATTGTAAAAGTTGAGATGAAGAGCTGGTTGTGGTGGCCTTCTCTGCCAACTCTGAGGTTTGTTGAGGGTCATAGGGCCAGATTTTCAGCTGCCAAAGCTCTATTTGTGCAAAGGAGCTGGGCTGACACTGCGAGAAAAAAATGCCCTTGCAGTGCAGCTCTAGTTCCCTTCTGCCGTTTTCACACACACACACAAGCACGCAGACCCCCGAACCTGGCTTTAAAGGCCAAGAGGAGCATCACAAAGTCTTTGCCGGGATCGAGGGAGATTTGCCCTACCCAAAGATAAAAACTCGGGGGACACGTGGCTGCGAGCGCTCCGGGAGGAGGCTGCGGGATGCGGCTGCGGGGGGGCGGCAGAGCCACCTCCACCCTGGACAGGACGGGACGCGACGGACCCAGCTTTAACGCGGCGGGAGGAGCGGGGTGCGGGCAGCCCCTCTGCCCGGGGCGGGGCGGAGCGAAGCGGAGCGGAGCCGTGGGGCGGGGGCAGCTCGTCCTGCGCTCCCGCCGCTCCTCGGCAGGCAGCGCCGCAGCCCCGCGGGCGCAGAGCGTGGTCCCCCCTGCACCGCACCGCACCGCACCGCACAGCACAACATCGAGCCGAGCCCAGCCCGGCTCCGTCCTGTCCCGCCGCCGTGATGAGGAGCCGCGCCTGGGGAGCCGCGCCGTGCCACTCACCGTGGCTCGGCCATGGTAAGGCAGCGGAGCCCGCGGCGGGTGGGACCGGCCTGGCTGAGCGGGGACAGGGGCGCGCTCCCTGTGCGCCTCGGCCGCCGGCCCCCCCCGGTGGTGCCGGCCGGGATCCGCGCTGCGCCCGCCGGCCCGGGGAGCTGCCCCCGGTTGGCTTCGCGCCGCCGTTCGGTGCCCACCGGTGGGGCTGCGGGAAGCGCACGTGCGGGTCGGGAACGGGCGCTGTGGTCACCGCGTATCCCGTGGGAAGCGGCGCGGCTTTGGGACGGTGGCTGGTGCGAGGGGGCAGCAGCGCGGGTTGCCGGGTGTGATGCACAGACAGGGCAGCGGCTGGGCAGGGGGGGTGTTGACAACGGGCGTTGTTATCGGCGTGTGTGCCTGCCGGCTCCGATGCCTCTGCGCTTGTTCAACCCGTGATATTCAGCGAACTGCTTGGAGTTACCGGTAGGGATCCGCAGGAAGGCAGGAAGCATTGGTGAGGCTGGGACAGGACAGGAGCCCGGTGCCACAGAGAAAGTTGCCAGGAAAGGAGCCTGGCCGGGATCTGCACGAGTGGGAAGCTTGGCTTTCGTGAAGGTGCTGAAGGAAGGGAGGTGTTTTCCAGCAATAGAGCTCTGGGGGTTCAGCCAGCTCCGTGCTCTGACAGGCATGTCGCAGGGTCCACAGTGCAAAGCTTTCCCTGTCACATCCGAGCTCAGTAGGGGTTCCAAGCTTTTGTCGCTGTGGCTAAGTGTTTCGTCAGTGCGGAATGCCGACCTGTCTCAGACTTGCTCCGAAGCTGAGGAAAGTTAGCATCTCTAAGTGCTTTGATTCAGGTACTGGGATTGGAGCCAGTTTGTGGAGCTAACGCCAGGAGAGGCAGAGCTGTGTCTGAGTGAAAACGCAGTGTTATTTCCCCTACCGTCCCCCCGCAAGGCATCTTTACTAGCTCCAAAATAAACTTCCCTCATAGAAACTTCATAGAAGGGTGAGTAACTAGGATGTGACACAGCTGCAAGTTTCTGCGGCTTCAGGGCAGCCAGGAGGGAGCTGGGTCCTGCTTTGCCAGCCGTGATCTCCTAGACAGCAGTGGTAGTTGGCCTGGGCTGTGCTTTGAAGTGTGTGATGTCATTATGACCTCATTTCTCTTTTGAAATAAAATATACTCCTTTTAACGGGAGTATCGCGCTGTGTTTGCTCAAGGAAAATGAATTTCCCTGTCCCGTGTTATAGCAGCTGACTGGTTTTGCTTGGGGTAGCAAAGGCAAGGTAGAGTTTCACAGGTTACTTGGATTTTGTCATTGCAGTAGTGGATGATGCATAGCCAGGTTGAGCTCAGTCTCTGGGAACCAGCTCGGGATTTGCAGCCCTCTGTACGGTACCACTCCTTGGGGCAGATCAGTGGTGTGAGAGCTGCTCCCACCCTTGCTCCTAGGCAGGGGGGACCCAGGGACCTGGTGTTCCCATCAGGAGAGGGACCTCTGTGATGTGCAGGGAGCAGCAGCAGCCTTCCTCTCCTCTGAAATGATCTTCACTGCTTCTGTTCTCCCCTCCCAGCCTGACCTCGGCACCGTCAGCACTGTCCAGTAATGCCGTTGAAAAACAAACATATGAGTGAGCCTGTGTGTTTGTTTAAGGAATTAGCACTTACACACCAGGTATGTTTATCTTAATTCCTTAAACAGTCCCCTGCTGGGGATAAAGATAAATAGTTTAATTTCCTCAGTACTCCACAAACACTGATTTAAAAGTAAGAGGAGCAAGTGCACTGACTGCGCTTGCTGGCTCATTAAAGCCCCCTAGGAAGTCTCCAAATTAAACATGCGGCTCCTCTGCGCCAACTGTGTTCCTGTGAGTTCCATCAGTGGTTCTCCCCCACCTCCTCCTCCCCGTCCTCTGGAGCCAGCTGGCACACCTTGACTTTTCCACACTCGCTCCCCTTTTCCAAGTAATCCCTATCTCCAGGAAATCTGAGGCAGGACGAAGAACAAGGGTAAGGGTGCCTGCCCACAGGGGTCTAAGTCCTTTGGGTGAGAACTGTCTGGTGGAAGTGGTTGCAAGATGAATTCAAGGGAGGTACGGCTTGATGTGGGGCAGAGGACTGCAGGCAGCCTGTGGTGAAGGGGGTGCCAAAGAGGAGATGGGAATTCCTCACTTCTCTGGAGAACACCTCGGGTCTCTTCTGCTTTCCACAGCCCTGCTCCTGGGCAGGAGGCAGTGCCTGGGGGAATGTGGAGGATGAGCGGGAATACAGATCCTGGTGCTGTGATGCACTGGGACAGAGAAAGGAGCTGAGCACCTTGAGGTGAGGACCAAGGTGTCCTCTGTGATGACTCACCACGTTTCTGGCTATCCCCCACACTGCAGGAGCAACAAGTGAAGGGTATGGTGTGTATGCTAAGAACATGTGAGGAGGCAACACATTGCCTTGCACATCCAACTGTCACACTACACAATATGGAAATACTCCTTGTGGGTTTGTGTTTGAAACCAAAACTGTTGTGTGAGTGAAAAGCAGGAGGGTGTTGTCCTCCCAGCACTTACTGTTCCACAGGAGCAGAGAAGCAGGGCAGGACTGCTCCATGCATGGTTCACAGACACCCAGCTTGGGGTAGATGGAAGTAATCTCAGTTATTTCATTGAGGAGCAGCACTGATTTAAGGGTATAGCACAAGGACTGCAGTGCACGTTGGTATAAATACTGAGAATTCTGCATCTGAACATCTGGAGGGACAGTTTGCCAAGTCGACAGAGCCTCTTGTGTCAGGGCACGATGATCACTGAGCTCCTGAGGGTAAAGAAAGTCTTCCCTCATGGGAAGACTACCAACTAATTATCCACTTATGGCTTCCCTGGCGCAGTTGCTGAAAAGGACAGTGATGAGTGCCAGGTTAGAGACATCCTCCGTTCTGATGTTGTCATTCCCATGCTTCATTCCTCAGGTAGTCTTTCAAAAGTTTCCAAGCCTAAGAAGACCATTACACAAAATTAAATGGTACAGGTGTTTATGTGGAAGCTGGTTGGTTGCTCTGGGAAGCAATGTCTTTCACTCTGAGCACGGCCTAGAAGGATGCTGAGGAGCAGGGGGGCCCTTTCTGCTTGCTCTGCACTGACTGCAGGTTTTCTCCCTACTGAGCTCAGCTGGTGATGGGAACTTCTACCTTCAGGCCTGCACCTGTGGCCCCACTTGCCCTCAGCTGTCTTATCACTCGTTCCTCCTCTGAACTGATAGAGGAAGAATGTGTGGCATCGTTTCTCACCGTGCATAGGTTATGTCTAGGGTGGAAAAGCAGGGTAGTACCTTCAGGTCTCCAGAAGGCTGAACGCCAGCAGGTTTTCTGCTCCTGCCTCCTGCGTGTGTGAGGAATAAAGCCATAAGAAAGGTAAAAGACACAGTTTAGGATGAGCTGCAGCTCTGAGGTTGCTCTCATGTGGCCACCTTGTTGTGGAGCAGTTTATGGGGAAGAGAAGGAAAGTGCTTTGTGGCTTTCGCTTTTAATATCCTTGCACTTCTGTTTCCTGGGGTTCCCTGTTCTCCCTGGTGCATTTTGTTGTGGGGCTGCCTTTTTGTCTGAAAAACCTGGTGGTTGCCAGCATGATCTAACCTTTGGTGCCGAGGGTGGATTGCCTCCCACAGGAGCCTTGATGTGTGGGTCACGAGAATGGAGCAGGATGAGCCATATGCTTGTTCTCTCAGCTAACATGAAACCAAAACCAGTATGGTCAAAGCAGCTGACTTTAATATGGTCTTGTTGTGTAATTCCATTAAATTTATTTCTATTAGAACAAATAATCTAATTCAGGCCCCTCCTCAACCCTAATGCGTTCGAGTGGCTGCAGACAGGAGGGTTACAGTGAGACACAGCCAGCAGTGCATGGTGGAGAGCAAATTACTCTGTAAGAAGACAAATTGAACTTTGACAATGTTATGTGATTAGGGGAACAATCAGAGAGGATAGCTGGAGGTGCACTCAACCAGGGGCTTGTGCGCTGGTGGAGGTGGGTGTTGGGGTGGCAGCAGCTCTCCAGGGTGAGTCATCCCTGAGCACAGGGCATAGTGGTGCTGGGGTGCAGTGACAGCCCATCCGCTCCTGCCTCCAGGCTGGGATGGGAAGGTAATGGTGAAAAGGAGCTTGCTGACCTTCTGCGCTGGTGGTGCTGGGGTGTTCTTCCCATGTCCTGATGCAGACAGGAGGGTTTGCTTATTCACAGGTGATCTGGATTTTACAGAGCCATGTCTTGGTTGTGCCTGGTGCAGCAGGGTTGGACCTGGACCTGCTGCACAAGGTTGAGCAGGGAAAGTGTTTTCTTTTTCTGGGTTCTCCCCTTTGCTCCCAAGATCCCTGGATCTCTATTTCACAGAACCAAGACAGGAGTTTGGTGTCCTGCCTTCAGTATATCTCATCCCCACCTACTCCACCCTGCCCTCATCTCCTCTGTCTGTAAAGGTACTCACACCCACAGGATTGTTTAAAGCTTGTGTAGGTGTAAATCAGTCCTGCGTAGTCCCGCTTGCACATGCACCCATTCCCAGCAGCATCCCCACGCTCCCTCTGCCTCCCTCCCCAGCTCGGTGCCTGTCTTCTGATCTCTGCCTGGGTGACAGCCGTGTTCAGCCACACGCTACAGAGCTGAAGCCGTGGTCAGTGGCTGCTGTTCTGCATTTGTCTGTTCAGCACAGTCTACAGCTGCAAGCACCAGAGCAGGAGGGTAGGGACTCACCCCAGCTGAGAGGGAGCGAAGCAAAGAGCTGGTGTGTGGTGGCAGCAGGGCACTCACTCCTCCATCTGCTCAGGCTCTCTTTGCTCAGAATCACATTGCTGTGAGGCTCGTTATTTTCTTTGACTCTTTCTCCCTGTTTCGGTTTGAGATGGCACAGACAAGTTCTGCCCTTATTATAGTTCCCATGGAGACAGGTTTGATGCTGTACATTAAAGGGGGGGAGGCACAGTCAGTTCTTGCCTGGGCCAGCAGTTTTCCCATTCATTTGCACCGCATCTCTCTCAGTGGGAACCCAAGCTCAG